GTGATGAAGAGAGGAATATTCCTGTTCTCTCGGGGCCTCGCCGGAGTTCGCCGGCCGGTCGCCGGACCGCCGACCGTGCACTGGTGGCCGGAAAGTCGCGGGCAGCTTCAGAACCGAACGCTCTCCACACCATTTTGACTCGATTTCCGTCCAGAGTCCGTCCTCTGGTCTTCGTTTCGCGAGATCGGCACTCCAATTAAGTCGAATCAAGCTTAAACAGGTGTTCTAAACGCCACTTTTCATCGCCGCCACAAAATCCCGATCAAAACAACTGCAGTTCACCCTTGTTCGACGCGCTTCATCTGTCCATGGAGGAGGGACTGGAAGCTGTGCGAAATGACGAGGTCGCCGGAAATCGAGCAGGAGATGAAATCCGGTGGTTGGGCAAATCTGCGTTCCTCTTCCGCCATTACTGCCGCTCGCCGGAGACCTAAGGAGAGAGGAGGCGGCTTGAGCATCCAGCGTGGGGCAACCACGGCGACGCGAGCTTGGTTGGCTCTGCTGGCTGGAACGAGGAGGGAGGAGGAGGAGCGAGTTGTCGCCCGATCGAGAAGAGAGAAGAAAGAAAGAAAGAAGAAAAGAAAGAAAGAAAGAATGTCGGGTTTCCAGAATTCATTTTCTGGTTCGATTTCGAACCGGTTTGGTCTGATTCAACGATTTGGCCGATTCTGCTCGGTTTGCTGCGTTTTTTTTTTTTTTTTTTTTTTTTTTTCCACTGGTTCTCGGATTATTCTTTGCGTTTTCGATTTTTAGGCTTGGGGCCCAATTTGAAAATTGGGCTCGAATTGAGCCTGTTTTAACATTTGCAGCTCACACGGCCAAAAATTTGCGATTTTTGATTTAAAAAAATTCGAAGGTTTTTGAAAATTAAAAATTCAGGTATACAGTAGATGACGTAAAAAAAAATTTAGAATGAGGAGGACCCAGATATATATATGCGTATATAACAAGTGAATAATGACCGGTAACTGAAAATAAATAAAGAATGGTGAAATAATAAGTTTTGAATTAAAATTCTTATTTTAGAATTTTTCTTGTTTATTTTAAAGGTTTATTAGAATACCAAAATCCAGGACAAAAAGCTGAAGCATGTGGCTATAAAACAATCTTAAAGGACAATAAAAGAACTGTGAGTAGTGTTTAGATAATTCGCCTCATCCCCGCATTCATGCATTTCACGGTAAATTGTTATCATGCATTATTGCTATATTGTGATGCACTATTTGTTTGATATTAAATAATTGCTTGATTACCTTGATTGATATTGCTGTGTCTTTGTTTGTGTGGAATGGAATGAATGACCACCATGGGTTTTGATGAGGACGGTCTATGTGATATGGATCCTGAATAATTGATATGATATGAATTTGACCGTCAGCCGGGGTAAATGGGAGATCGGCCGCCCCTGTTAGCACCTTGATGGATATGGATTATATAGAAAAACCAACAGGATGGCTTCTTGTTGTTGCGGCCACCTGATAATCTAGATTTGATTGTAGCCCGCAGGGTGGCCTTCCTGTTGTGAGCACTTGATGATCTATATTGGATGAAAAGACCACCGGTTGCCTCCTGTTGGCATTTTTTTTTTAAAAAAAAAAAAGAGACGAAGAGAGAGAATGGAAAAACAATGAGAGGATTGGTCAGAGAGGATAGCACAGTGGCCGTATGGGGGTCGGCTCCCTTGTGCCACATGTATGAGAGGGGCGAGCCATGGATGAGGACGGCTCGTTGGGGTTTTAGATGGTTGCCACTGACTAATTTCCACGTGATGTTGATTATATGAAGTGTAATATTGTGGTTGCTGTTGTATTGCCAATTTTTGTGACACTGCATTGATCATAAATTTAATCGATAACAAATAAAAAATATTTAGCATCTGTATGATTTGTGTGGGTGATGAGGGTTATCTAACCCTACTCATTGAGTTTGGCGCTCACCCCTTGCCTACCTTTTTTTTCCAGGTATAGAAGAAAGAAAAAATCCTATGGAGTTGAGACATAAGTATAGGAAAGACTGTAAACGATAAATAAATGATGATGTAAATGTACAGGTTAGAGTTTCGCAATGTATTCTAGTGGGTTGTAGATGAACTGTACTAGTGATACATAAATTGAAATAAAAATTATTGGGCCTGTATCCACAGTTATGAATAGTAAATGAGATTTGCATCATAAATATAGGCCTTACTACGGGCTTTGGGGCTTTAAAGGGCCCATCAGGTCCTAGATGCCGGTCCGTCCGGGTTCCATGGAAAATTGGGTCGTGACAGTAAGTCCACAGTTATGAATAGTAAATGAGATTTGCATAATATAGGCTTACTACGGGCTTTGGGGGCTTTAAGCCCATCCAGGTCCTAGTGCCGGTCCGGTCCGGTCCATGGAAATGGGTCGTGACAGTAAGTTTTTGTTCTTATCATATACTTGGTTTAATTTTGCTAATATTCTTGAAAAATGAATGCAAAATTTTCACTCTATTTCAAAAGTAATAAATTATAATTTCCCCAAAAAATTTATAAAATATAAAATATTAATTTAGGATATGCATGATTATATTATTTCTTATGTTAATGTTATTTTTCTCACTTTCTTATATATAAATATATATTAATTTTTAGTTTGAATCTATATTAAATAGATGGAAATAGTATTATATTTAAAAAATTGATTGAACCAATTTAGTACTCCTTTAGTTCCGTTTTGTTTGCTTATTATTTATTTTTTAGATGTTCCAAAATATTTGCAAGGTTTTTAAATTTAGATATATAAACAATTATTTTTCCAATAATAATATTTATGATTGTTCATTAAACGAAGGATTTTGATTAATATTTTAATGAGTTCAGGGTAAAAAAGGTCAAAATAATTTTTGTTGACTAAATTTTTAACACTCGTATTTTATCAAACCATACAAATAAAATGGGACGGAAGGAGTAGATATTAATTAAATTAATTTTACTTATAACTTAAATGTTCTAACTTATTCAATTAGCATTCAAATACCAATCTATATTACAATTAATTAGATAAAAAAATTAATTGAAAATTAAGATGATGTGGCAATCAAATTAAAATTATAATAGAAATGATGACGATGATAATTAAAAAATGAGAAATGGTAATTTTGTTGCATTTATATTGGATTAATTGATAAAAATATACTTACGGACAATCTGAGAGAGAGAGAGAGAGAGAGAGAGAGGCCACGTCATAAACATTTAACAGTGACATATAAATGGAATCTGAGCTTTATGGAGAGCCCCGAAAAAACCAGGAGCAAAGGCCCACTTGACCAGAAAAGGCCAATTCCAACTAGTCAGCAAAGCCTATCTCTGCCCATGCACTTCCTGTCCCCTTCAAATAAATAAATTGTCCACTCCAGATAATAATATCTTCAAATATTAATCCCCTAATTATCAAAATATTTATAAAACCTCTTTTTATTTAACACAACAGATAAAAAGAATAACAAGAAGCCAAGATTTTTTATTGACTAAGATTTTATAATTTAACATAAAATTTCAAGTGATTCGTAAGGTATGTTTTTCAACTCGTAATTTAATTTTAACTGATTGTATAATGTTTTTAAATCTAGAATAATTAGAGTATAATTCTAATTTAAAATTCTCTGTTAAATGATAATAAAAAACATAAAGAAGGAAATGTTATTTAGATCCCAAGCATGCCCTTTCTAAATAAAAGAAGGAAATAGTTTGACAATAATGGTATCTTTCATTATAAAAAAAATGAAACAATCTTTCATTTTGAAAAATTTCCACCCTGTCAAAGAGAGAGAGAGGATTAGAGAAGGAACTGGAGAGGTGGGTGTGTTTTGTTTTCATGCATTGGATAAGAGAAAAATAATAATAACAATAAAAAAAAAATCTTGAAAGATAAAAGTTGTGGTTGCAAATTGCCTATCAATTTTATTGTGTCCCCACTCCCATTAACCAATCCTATTATCTCTCAATCCCCCACCAAAGGGCAGGGTCTTTTTGGGTGCAAAATGCAAAATAGATATTAAAAAAAAAGGACCAAATTCATTTTGTTGGAAAAGAATTGTCAACCATTGGCCATTACAGTTTAGAGAAAAATAATAAGGGAGATAATAATAGTAAAAAGGTTGGAAAAAATTTTTTTGCAAAATTCAATACCTACCCTCCAAAATCCAATTGTACTGTTCTTGCTTATTGCATAAATTCTCCCTCATAAAATTATAGCATCAGTAGAAGTAGAAAAGGTGACATTTTTAATTAAATTTCCTTTGTGAGCTTCTGCAGAAAGACTGACTGAAAGGCAGATATGGTATATATCTGATATAGAAATAGAGAGAGAGAGAGAGAGAGAGTGGGGTTTTTTTGGTTGGTGTATATTTTTGGAGAGATGTCAAGTGGGTGTAGCATAGTCTGGTTCAGAAGAGATCTGAGGGTAGAAGATAACCCAGCACTAGCAGCTGGTGTTAGAGCTGGTGCTGTAGTTGCTGTTTTTATATGGGCACCTGAAGAAGAAGGTCATTATTACCCTGGTAGGGTTTCAAGGTGGTGGCTTAAACAAAGTTTGGCTCATTTGGATTCTTCTTTGAGAAGCCTTGGTACTACTCTTGTTACCAAAAGATCAACTGATAGTGTTTCTACTCTTCTTGAGGTTGTCAAATCTACTGGTGCTACTCAGATCTTCTTCAATCACTTGTATGGTTAGTCTATTTATCTTCTTCTTCTGTGTCTTTATGGTGTTTTTTTGTCTGTTATATTTATCTTCCTGCATGCTATATGGTCAATATCTATTTAATTGTTATTTATTGCATGGATTTGTGGATCATGTGGACTTACCTTCATAATATAATATCCATTTCCTCTGAGCTTCCCATCTTTTTTTGTTCTTTCTGGATTTAGTTGTTTATTTTGATAATATGTTTTATCTTTTTCTGTTTTCTATTCATTTACTGTGTCTTTTAAATACTTAAATAACTACATAATTGGACTGGTTTGTTTTGATGGATTAGAGACACTTGACATCCAATTAGTGTGTGCTTATTGGCTGATTGATAATTCAGTGATTGCTTCTATTATGAGATTAATTTGTTCAAGCAGTGCCTCAGATTAATTTGTGATTGCTTCCAATTATTCTCCTTTGAATTAATTTGTTTTGTAATAAAAATAGGGAAAATCTAAGGAAGTTTTTCTTCAGTGAATTCTTGAAATTTCTTATACATAGTTTAGGAAAAGAATTAGAAAACCTTCATTGGCAATTTTACTGTTTTTCAGATCCATTGTCACTGGTTAGGGATCACCGGGCAAAGGGGGTTTTGACTGCTCATGGGATAGCTGTAAGATCCTTTAATGCAGATTTGCTTTATGAACCTTGGGATGTTAATGATGCTCAAGGACGCCCTTTCACTACCTTTGCTGCCTTTTGGGAAAGATGCCTTAGCATGCCTTATGATCCAGAGGCTCCACTTCTCCCTCCTAAGAGGATTATTTCAGGTTTGTCTTTTTAAGCATTCATTTTCCCCATGAGGGGATTTCCCAATGTGTTTGTAGCTATGAGTGAATCAAAGTGAATACCTTGACAGATGTCAAAACTAGAAGGGGCAGGAATCACATTGCTACAGAAATGCTCTATAACATATTTTTTAATTATGAATTTTTGAAGAACTATTTTGATATCCAATTTTCTTCTGAAAATTTTTGTACTTTCCAGGTGACATGTCTAAATGCCCTTCAGATGCACTGATATTTGAAGATGAATCAGAGAAAGGAAGCAACGCATTGCTTGCTCGAGCATGGTCACCTGGATGGAGTAATGCTGACAAGGCTTTGACCACATTCATCAATGGACCATTACTTGAGTATTCTAAGAACCGTAGGAAGGCTGACAGTGCTACAACATCTTTTCTTTCTCCCCATTTGCATTTTGGGGAGGTTAGTGTTAGAAAAGTATTTCATCTTGTCCGCATCAAGCAGGTTCTGTGGGCGAATGAAGGGAACATAGCTGGTGAAGAGAGTGTAAATCTGTTTCTCAAGTCAATTGGTCTTCGAGAATATTCAAGGTACATGAGTTTTAACCATCCCTACAGTCATGAAAGGCCTCTCCTAGGGCACCTTAAATTTTTTCCTTGGGTTGTGGATGGAGGCTATTTTAAGGCTTGGAGACAAGGTAGAACTGGTTATCCATTAGTTGATGCAGGAATGAGAGAGTTATGGGCCACTGGTTGGTTGCATGATCGAATACGAGTTGTAGTTTCTAGTTTTTTTGTCAAGGTTCTACAGCTTCCGTGGAGGTGGGGAATGAAGTATTTCTGGGATACTCTTTTAGATGCAGATTTGGAGAGTGATGCTCTTGGTTGGCAGTACATTTCGGGTACTCTCCCTGATGGCCGTGAGTTTGATCGCATAGATAATCCACAGGTGTGAACAATACATTTTAGTATTTCTTTTGTGGGTTGTCTGTGTTGGCCTTTGTGGTGCATACACAGCAGCACATGCATATACTTATATTGTTAATGATGATATGATAACCATTTGTAATTTAATTATGTTTTTCCCCTTGCACCGAGTTGAACAATTTTCAGGCAAAGACTTCTGCATCATATACTGCATATCTCTTCTGAAATAAATTATCAATAATGACAATAGGCCTTCTCCTTCTCTATCTATAACTGATGAAAGAAGGCAATAATTGGAAGCTTATAAGGGTTTTGTGCTATCTTGCAATGCCAACTAATTCATCCTAGCAAACTAGCATATATTAAAATGTACTCTGATTGATTTTTGTATCTCACTTTAATTTGTACTTTGAACATTCTTGCTTCCACTAGTTGCATTTTGCTGACTGTTTTTCTTGAGCATAATCACGTGCATTGAATAGCTTTCTAGAGGATTTTTTTTTTTTTTCTTTTCCTTCTTCTTATGGTACTGCTTCTCTCTTTTGATGCCTTTTCATCTCTAAAGCATAACCAAAATCTACACGAGCTGACAATGCATTCATGATATTTATGTATGTTGCCTGATTCAACGTTTCTTACAATTACCTGTTGGTAAGATGTCATGCATTTATTATTGTTCTACAGTTCGAAGGTTACAAGTTTGACCCAAATGGAGAATACGTCCGACGGTGGCTTCCTGAACTTTCCAGGCTACCTACTGAATGGATTCATCATCCATGGAATGCACCTGAATCTGTGCTCCAAGCTGCTGGAATTGAGCTTGGTTCAAATTACCCTCTTCCAATTGTAGGGATAGATGCGGCTAAAGTTAGACTGCAAGAAGCACTTTTGGAAATGTGGCAGCATGAAGCTGCTTCCAGAGCTGCCATTGAAAATGGAACTGAAGAAGGGCTTGGAGATTCATCTGATTTGGCCTCAATTGCCTTCCCTGAAGACACTCAAATGGAAGAGAACCATGAACCTGGAAGAAATAATCCCCCTCATACAATTCGGTATTATGAGGATCAGATGGTCCCAAGCATGACGACTTCTTTGCTAAGAGTTGAAGAAGAAGAAACTTCTTCAGATCTTCGAAATGGAGCAGAAGATAGCAGAGCAGAGGTTCCAAGAAATGTAAATATCAATCAAGAACAAAGAAGAGACAATTTAAACCCGGGAGCCACGCAGACTATCCGCAGCAACAACAGTTTTCCGCATTTTAATGTGGTTGGAGCTTTTGGAAATACTGAAGATTCAACAGCAGAATCGTCAAGTAGTAGTAGGAGAGAAAGGGATGGAGGTATAGTTCCAGTCTGGTCTCCTCCATCTGCTAGTAACTCAGAGCAGTTTGTAGGGGATGAAAGTGGAATCGGAGCAAGTTCTTCTTATTTGGAGAGGCATCCACAATCTCACCAGATAATTAATTGGAGGCGGCTCTCTCAGACTGGGTAAGAAGTAAAAGAATTCTAAAGGATTCACAAGGCTAAGAAAATGTCCAGTAAATATCCAGTACCTCTTACATGATTGCAGTTCATAGTTTGAACGGCAATTTGGTTGTATAGCAGTCTGCAAGTTCCTTTTGCCTGGTGGTTGAAGGTTCATGATCTGAAGAAATTAAATATGACCCAAGAATTCCACAACATTAGACCTTACAGCTACACTCTTGTAGAACTTACACCAACAAGTCTGCAAATAATTAAGTACAGAGTGGAGTCAGGATAATTAGTAGGATGAATAGTATTGATTATTCCTGACTTCAAATCTTTCTCTTCTCAACAGGTAAGACAAAGACATACATGCAAGGCAAGACTTGGTGCTAGGAAGTGGAGAATGCAGTGGCTGGCACATGTTCATTTTTTCAATGGGTTGACAAAACGAAGTCTTACGCATGTTGTTACCCACCTGTGCTCTTCTCAAGATTCTAATCTGACTGGTGGTATGACCTTCAACGTGTATGATAGTTGAAAAAGATTTGATGCAGCCTATCTGCTATCCTTTTTTCTGTACTTATACCATAATAGATAGTTCTGTTGTATAGTATTTATAAGCAAGGGGTGAGAGTGACGATAGGTATTTGTAGTTCTCAAATAAACCCAGGTTTGTGCTTATTTAATTGATGATTAGGCAGATTAATTTGCTTTCATTCATCTTTTGTCTTATTCCTGGCATTTATATGTTTATTTTTCCCTACCAGCTTAGGTTGGAATTGACATTTTTTGCATTCTAATGAGATGTTGGAAAAAAAATGGATAGAAAAGTTGGAGGCAAAATGGAGGGTGGAAATTAACTATCTATTATTTGGCCAAAAAAAAAAAAAAAATGAGGGAGGAAAGAAACTGAGGATTATTATCTTAAATTGCAAAGAAAATGAAGAAAATATAATTATGTTTAATTTATACAGTATAATTTCTCTATCTTTCCTTTTTTTATTGAAGTAAAACTTTTCTTGTACAAGTTGGGAATAATTTCCCTTTGCTTTAATCTATAGAAGCATATCTGTCTTAAGGATCAGCATGTGTATAAAGATGATTGAATATATTTTTAGTCTTCTCTTCAGGATTATCAGGCTTAGGTACCCTAAGCATGTTGTATACCATAGTTGCAGCTAATGCTCCAAGTACAGGAGACAGAAGAAATACCCATAGGTTCTTATAAACACCAGAGACAATTGCAGGTCCTAAGCTTCTTGCAGGATTCATTGAAGCTCCAGTAATTGGCCTGCGGAATTTATTAAACAAACCAGTTAAGAAATAACTGAATCGAACTAAGATTATTAACAATTTTAGTAACTTTTCAAGTCAACAGTTTATATACCCACCCAGCAACCATGACATTAACCAACAGAGTACCGCCAATTGCTACTCCAGAAAAGTCTTTGCTCTGGTTTTTTTGTTCATTCATGTAGAAAAATGAGTTCCTTTTTGAAAACAAAGACATGAACTATTTATAATATTGATTAAATAAAGCGAAAATCATACCGCTCTATGATCTGTAGCAACGGCACAAATATTAAACATCAAAATAAATGTGATTATAAATTCCCATATAATAGCTTCAAGATGGGAAGTTGAATTTTTATACTGAGTCATTGTTGCTTGGATATCATCTTGGTCATGGAACAATACTTTAAGGGTCAGAATAGCAAGTGTTGAGCCCAGAACCTGAGCCAACACAAACACAGGCACCTGCAAACAACAACGACAACAAAAGTCCTATGTGAACTTAAGAATTCTGTTTTTCGTTTTGCATGAAAAGTAATTTTCAACTATGACATCTCACATGTTTCCAAGAAAATTTCCGGACCGCGGCCAAGGCAATGCTAACAGCAGGATTAAAATGTGCACCAGAAATGTGACCAACTGCATAAATTAATGCCATTAGAACTACACCCCATACAATTGCTATACCCAGAATTGTTAGTTTCTGAATATCATTAGTAAGAGCAGATCCACAGCCTATAAATATAAGAACATATGTTCCCAAGAACTCTGCAAGAATCTGCTAAACCAAAAAAGCAAACACATTTTTAACAATTATTAGTAGAAAATAACTTCACTTTGTCGAAAAAAAGATCAAAATTTCAATTATTTCATTTCATGCACTGCACCTTTTGAAAAAGTAAAAAAGACGAAGGTGTGCTATTTGGGTTATCTTCTGGAACTTGAAGAACTGGTCTTTTAACAGGTAGCTGAAGTTTAGGGGAAATATCAGTACTAGTGATAGAATGACTAGCCATTGTTGCACCAGTGTACCTCACTAGCTGGACAGCTCAAGTGTTCTTATACTGGATTTGATAGTGTGTGAAATAGCAGGTGATACGAAAATTTGCTGCAGAATTTCTTTATATTAGTATTATTTTAAAGCTTGTTATGGATGTATATATTTGAATCTAATAGAAAGAAAGAATCAATTTAGTGAAATGTGAAGTGGTGGAAACCGAATTGGTTGAATTATGATGATCATGTATATGATTAAGTGGAATCATTTCGTGGTATCCAAGGGCTCTTAAACTTTGGAATTATATTTGTTGCTTAGGAAGAGTCATAATCAAAGGCAACACTAGAACTAGGACAAAGTCCAATAAATGGAATGACCATCGAAAATCCTTCAGACATCTTCTATATGTCGTTTACACCTTATGCGATTTCGGACGGTCTGGTTTGAATTGATGGAAAGTGAAATTTATGCATCTGTCAAATCTATGGATTGGAAAAGAAATATATTGAAGGGTATTTTCTGAATAAAAGTAAGTAATTTAAATTATACCATTAATTGAAAAAATCTCACTCCTGATGAAATTTATTAGTCTTGTCGAACTTTAAATTATTTTTCTTAAACCAAATAAAAGAATCTGGCAAACTTATTAAACATTTAAATTCTATTATTCAAACTTTATGGATTCAAATAACCACTTATAACTCCAAAAAAAAATCTGAAAAAATAAACTTAATGGTGTAATAATAATCAGTAGAAGAAATATTATCAATAAGGAGAGGAATACAACGTAATAGTTTTCCTTTGAAGGTTCTGTGTTGTTTAGGACATAGGAAATCTTTCAGTATCAGTAAACAACGTTAACGAGACAATGGACAGCAACACATTTATATTTTCTCAGGAACATCGGCTTAGGCCAACCTGGATGATGATGGCTGCGTTACAAGCTAAACACTGATCCAATAGAATAGATTAAATTAAATTAAAAACTCTAGAAATTAAGAAGTCAGTTTGTTTCAAATTTTAAAATTTTGACCTGTTAATAATAATAATTACTATTAAAGTTTAAAAAAATATTAATTTATGGTAGTGCTTCCTAATGATAATAATAAAGAAAAGGGAGAGAATAATCCTAAGTCCTAAGCTTTTAGCAGCTGATTTCAGTTATAAAACAACAAAAGTACTTTTGAAAGAATCTTGTGTTTGGGTGGAACTTATGCCGTTGCCTGTTGTATACATGTTTTTTTCGCCGTCCCAAAATGAAAAGAATAATTATCATAATACAAAGAATTTTAATTAAAAATTAAATAATGTTGTGATTAGGGTTTCTTTGCAATTTTTTAATATGTAATCCTCTAAATTCTTATCGAGAATATGTTGACTTGAGCAAGGTCTCCTGATTATCCGGGCTTCGTTGGAAATATTAATAAAAGGGAAAATAATAATGGGTCACCTAAATTTTAATCTAATTAATACTTCAGAAACTTCAATTTTTAAAAACCAATTTAAAAGTCTCTGAATTTTAGTTCCGTCAACATAGTGGTCCTTCCGTCTATAATCAAGCCCTTCCAGTATTACGAGAGGTCATCATAGATTCATCATTCCTTTTCTCATAGTAACCAAAGTATGACAATTGTTAATTTGTCATTTTTTTTTAATTATTAATTCAAAAAATCACACATTTAAACATATTTTAATGATGAAAGGTGTATATAACCAAATAATAAATACAAAATCCATCTCCTTCCAATATTCAAAAGAAAAAAAAAATCCAAAAATAAAAACAAAAGGATTCAAACAAGAATGGGCTATCAGAATTACAGCCTCCACGCGTAGCATTATTAATGCGATAGAAATATGAATATTACATTGCATGCCGGCCGAATTGGAATGTTGAAATCATGAAAAGCCAAGATCATTCTAATGACCCGATCTCAACAAAAAAGAGTAATTATGACTGAGTTTAATTATGCACAAGCACGAGTCCGTTTGATGGGGAATAAAATCTTACAAGAATGAGTTTTTTACCACCGTGGCCAGTGTTCTTATTTTAGATGTGCTTTGATTTATGGATAGCCCATCAAGAGGGGATGACGAACGTAAGGATTTTCACCCGTGGCCATCCAAAAAAAGATAAAAGGAGGCAAAAAAAAAAAAAAGACCGTAAAGAGGGGAGAAAATATATGCAAGTAGTTTAAAGACATAGTTGTAAAAATGCTTTTAATATGAATAAGTTAAAAACTCAATCTAATGATTTTAACACTGTAATAAAAAAAAGTTACTAAAAGCATAGGATTCAAATTCAATGAGACTAATGTGTCCTGATATATAGTGTCCTATAGCCTAATTATCCCTTACAGTAAAAATAGAAAAGAAACATAATCATCAATATTGCAATTTTTTTTTTTTTTTTTAATATGGAAAAAGCATAGGATTCGATTCAGAAAAATGAGGACCACTTCATGTGCATAAGTCAACACCCTTTTATATGCCCAATAAGAAAAAAAGGAAGATAAATGATTTGAGAAAATACAATAAAAAAATAAATGCCATATTGATATTTGATAATGGTCATAATTTACATTGAAAAGGAAAAAGGTTTCATGAATTATGTAAATGTAATGTAATATGAAATCAACAAAGTTTGAAACTTTTGAAAGCGAAATACACAAAATCAAGATAATGTAATGAATGGGTCAGATGATGTGTACCACTAAATGATTCATTCTTACAACTACATCAGTTAGACTATTCTATTAGTTACTACGTAACCAAAACCAACAATTGCAGACTAACTGTTCCCATTTATTGGAGTAACCCATCACGGAAAAAGTTCTACTAGATAACCCTTACGTTCTAATACATCGATTTTCAAAATTACACTATTTAGTTCTCGCCTTGTGATTTTATAATAATAATAATAATAATAATAATAAGGGTTTTAATAATTATTTTTTATGATTGAATTAATGTTGATAAAAGATCTACATCAAATATATATAATTAAATAATGACCAAGTCAGTTTGTGCAGCGAATTAAAACTGGTTAAGAAAAGACATTGTTGAATCAGAAATTTCTTGATTTTAGATTCTTGTCTTTAGATTGAAATGATTAATTAGCGTAAAACATAGCAAATCAAATTTTCAAAGTGAAATAGATGACAGCAATGAATAGATTTAGCTTGACGTGTTGTCACAAGCAAAAGCAATCATAAGTTTGGCTTGTTAGTAGGAAATTTCGTTTGTTTATTCAATGGGGCAAACACCATTAGTGTCACATTTCTTACGTTATTACGTACGAAATAGATATATTATCTTCATGAAGCCATGTCTGTTACCTTCCATGCATATACATAATCCAATTATGCATGAAAGATAGCACTCTTACGTTATATAATTATAATTGGATTAAGAAAAAATTTGATTGATCGCACAAAATCCATGTGAAAATGAACTTATTTCATGTGGATTTATTTACAGTTTTTTGGCATATATATGTATTGATGGTTATAGAAAATAAAAAAAGAGAATAAAAGATGTTTTTTAGCAAATAGATCAAGTGGTTTTTACAGAGAAAGCAGGGGGAGTTTTCGTAGACCGAACGGAGAACGGAGATATCGGTTACTGAGCGGTAGATATGAGCATTAATTATTGACCCGAGCGTTGCTAAAAATAAGTCCTCATGATTTTTAACGCTCAGTCTTTTAGCTATAACTGTTGATGGATCTTTATTATGATTTGATCTTTTGTTAAATTGCAATTATGTCCTTAATTTTAAATGTAATCTATCATGTATTACAAAGGAAATTAGGAATTCATTTTCTTGAATGTTCATACAAACTTTCACTTATAATGTTTGAATTATTTCAATTATTCAACAATAATACCGCGTTTACTTTCCAAGAAAGAAAAAAAAAAACTAAAAATAGAGCATTTAAAGTTTTTTAATGAAAATTATTTTTTTAATCAACCTAATAAGCGTAGATATTAGAGTTGGAATCTCATAAGTATAAAATTTGTTTTAAGTTAATAAAGAAAATATACACTTCCCTTATATAAAAAAGGAATAGGTAAAAATAATATCAAACTGTATTTTTAAATAAATCTCCAAATTTATCGAGTTTTTGCTCATTTCTTAAGTTTTTCAACTTTAATTTATAGACATTAAACTCTTCAACTTTTATTTTTTTTTAAAAAATTATATTTCCAATAAAAAATAAATAACTAAATAAAATATCTTTATATTCCTAATTTAAGAAAAATTATAAGAATATATATTAAGAAAAACAACTAAGCTTTTTTTAAACATATTAATTATATTTTCTTAATATACGTAAAAACCAAATAATATATATTTTATGGAATAGTGGGATTATTTAAAGATTTAAATAATTGATGTACAATTTCGATATTATCATCAATTTAAAGATTTAAATATAATTGATTTCATAATTTTTAAAAAGAAAATTTATTGATTTGAAATTAATTAATGAAAAGTTTGATAACTAATATTAATGAATAAATTAATTCATTAAAGGTGAATTTGATGATTAATTTCATAATGAATAAAAAACAATTTATTCAACCTAAATAATGAAGTCAGAACCCGAATTTGCATAATAAGAGTTTGCCCCCACGCCTCATGTCTCCTTCCTATTTAAAGCAAATACTTGGTCAATCATAGTTTGCTTGGTCATGGTCAACAAAAGCATACATGACGTATTAATATATATTATCCAATATAATTTTAATAATTTCTATATAACTAAAAACTAAACAGTAAATTTTCTCCCAAAAAACATTAATTAATATTTTTGAATAATAAAGTTTTATCACCTTTTTTTTAATATATCCTAACAACAATTATAATTTATCTATAATTTATAATCTATATAATATTCAAGTGGAAATAGATGGGGAATATTAGGATTGCCAAAATTGTTTCTACTAAATTTATGGATCGACAAAAATATCATTAAATATTTTAATTTGATCGGTTGCAAAATCTTTTTTTTTTATTGGACATATTAATTTTCTATTTAAATCTAATAAATAATAAATTATATTATATACTATATAATCAGTAAAAAAATATATTATATAAGGTGTATATTAAATATAGTAAGAATATAATATCTAATACAATTACTACTTATATACTATATAATAAATAATAAATTATATTATATACTATATAATCAGTAAAAAAATATATTATATAAGGTGTATATTAAATATAGTAAGAATATAATATCTTTAAGGACTTTAATTTTATTAGTTGAAAAAAAATAAAAATAATTTAAGTTTGATTGATATATTAATTTTTAATTTAACTCTAAATTATATCGGATAAATTAAAAAATTATATTATATATTAAATAAAGTATGTATTAAATGTGATAAGAATGTAGATGTTAAATAGGGTAAGTACGTGATATATTTTTAATTATTATTTTTAATAAATCTTTGATTGGTTATAATTATTTTCTACAAGTAATTTACTCTATAAAAAGTAAATATAATTTATTGTTATTTATTAAGGAACATATTACTATCATTTAACATAAAATAAAAAATGAAACTCAGTAGAAATATATATATAATATAAATACATTATATAACAAATTATATTAGTATTTATTAAGGAATATATTGTAAGGTTTATTGTTTGATATAAAATAGAAAATAAAACTCACTAGAAATATATATAAAATGTAAAATTATGATATAACACATTATACTAGTAAATCATGGATACATCCAAAGATTTTCTTTTTATAAAAAATATAAAATTAATGTGTTCATACACTTTAGCAAAAAATAAAAGAGAAAAGAAAAAAATTAAAATTATAAATGGTGCTCTAAAATAATCACTAATATATTAGTTATTATAATAGCTAATATTAATTTCTCATATTTCAATTAAAATTAAATTATTATAAAAAATAAATTAGTTGATAAATAATTTTATTTTTGTGAAAATTTGGTTGTCAAATTATAATAAAATATCAGTATTATTATAAATATGTTATTTTCTTATTTAATCATTAATTTTTTATTTTAGTATTTCATAAACTGTTCTTTTTTTATTTCGAGAATGCTTTTAAGTTTTTAATAAGTTTTTTTAATAACTTAGAAACTGTTATAATATTATTATTATTATATACTATATATCTAAAATTATATTATTTACCTTGCAGCATGTACAAAAATCAACCGAAAATGAGAATGAGGGAAACATAGAATTGATAAAAAACTAACTTCTACTAAATTTATTATATTGATAAAAATATTTTTTAAAATTTTAATTTATTAAATAAAAATTTAAAAATTTTATTTTGATTACGTTATATTTGATTTTTCTACTTGAACTTTAACATTTTTTAAGGCTAATTTAAATGGCAATAAAAACAATAAAATATTTAACAAACTGACAACGATTAATTTAATAAAGAACTACTTAATTCAATTAGATTTTAATAGTAATTAAAGGAATTAGAACTTTTTCCTTTAAAAATTATGAATAAAATTGCTAACTCAACCAATAAAATCTTTAAAAAATTCTCTACAAGATATTGACATACTATCAATAATAAATATGTTCATTTTTGTTAAATATTAACAATTTTATTTTCAACATTAATACTTACAACCTAATGAACTCAATGGCAGTTACGTTTTTACGTTTTCGTTTTGTTGATATTAAATTTAAATATCTATTTTGGCTTTCACAGTAATACTAAACTCATAAATGTTACACTTAATTAGCTTTTTTTAAACAAACAATATTAATTATAGATTTTCCTATTTTTTCTAAAATATCTATTTTTCAATTTTTATTTTATTAAACTAATAACTCTTATAATACTTAATTTGTTATGAATATATTTCCTTTTGTTAGACGTTTAAACATATTTGTAACTAGACACGTTATAATTAATTAAGCCGCATTAAAGGAATCTTTAATAAAGGTAATTTAATGGATTCTTAAAAATACAATGTAATTTGATTTGATTAACTTATAATTAAATTTTTCTTGAATTTAATTCTATTGTCAAAATAGAAATAAAAATATGAAATAATAAGAAATGTTTAATAGTGATAACAAAATAAATTAATATAATCTAATAAAGGTGAAATTTTAATATAGTACCTAATTAACACGGTTTCCACTAACTGAATTTTTTTTATTTATAAATATAACTAACTACAATTTATAAAACTATTATGAATATTTTTTTTCAATTTTTTTACATTATGAATTCTTTCATTAAATTTGTATATAAGAACATACAATATGGAAGGATTGTAGTAAAATATTTTTATCAATGGTTTTTATAAATTTATTAACTTATTATGTTTAATTTAATTTTTAATGCAATTTAAAATACAATGAACTCATTTTTAGTAAATAATAAAGAATTACAAATTAAATAATCGGTTACTTCCATAATGAAGAAGCAAATACATAGTGCACGTTCTTAATACTACGTTAGGGTATGTTTGATTCCAACGTTCATTACAGCTCATAGCCAATAGTTATTTAATTGAATGGCTGGTACAGCAACTTAGCTTATGAATGTTGGCGTTTTAGTAAAATTTTGATAGTTTTGTTTACTATTTAAACTATAAAATGACTAATTAATGTTAATAATTGTTACCATATAGATTTTTTAAAAAATTTGAAGGTGAATATACTTACTTTTTTATTTTTAATATATTAATACAAATAAAAATATTAATTAAAAAATTTAAAAAATAATATTTACATTATATTTAAATAATTATCAATATTAATTAAAAATTATTACTAAATTAAAAATTAAAAATAATATTTAATTATATTTAAATAATTATAAAATATTAATTTAAAAAATTATTACTAATTTTTTATGAAGTTAATGAAATTCAAATATAATATAAATACAAACTAGCTATCAAAATGTAGTTAATGAAATAGTTATATCAATTATCATCTGCTAATTAAAAAATTTTCCGTACATTGATAATAAATTTCATGATAATGAAATTATAGCTTGTAGATACAATTTTCATTTTTATTTTAATGTTTTTTTTTAGAATTTTATTTTAGTAACAATGTAATTATAAAAAATGTGATTTTTTTTTTAATATGGTTTTCTGTTGAAAATGCAAATTTTATGAATATGGTTTAAGAGTTTGTCTAATTTGTAGATTATATATGTAAATTATTTTTTATTGGTTCGCAAACCTATCACTATAATCAGTACACTGTGATATTAAAATAAAATATTTTTAATAATATAATCTTATTTGAACTTTAGAAAACAAAATACATTTTTCAAGGATCGAATTTATATTTTTACTTTTATATAAAGGGATTAAGATTACTTACCATATCAATAAACTCTTTATAAACAGCAACGGTTCTAGATTTAAACTCTTAATTTTATAAATAAAGTTAGTCTAAAAAATAAATTTTGCTTATTAACCACTTATTGATAATATATGAATTACTTTTAAAGAAAAAGAAAAAGAAAACTGTTTTTTTTTTTGGTTGTAAGTGCAAGAGAAGAGATGTACTTTGTATTAGGCTAACAGTACTAGGCAAAACAAAGAAAATAGTAAAAGCAGCAAAGTCAACAGGAAAGAAGTCTGCTTTAGTGGCAGCCTTTTTCTTTTATTGCTAAATTTTTTCTCTCTCCTCTCACTGCACCAAAGAAGACTCCCCAACCAAAACGGTTACCAAAATCTATCATATAGCCCTTTGTTCGATTTCTTCGCCTTCTCCTTTTCTTTCTCACCAAACAAAAATTCTTTCCTTTTATCAAGATAAACAACAAAAAAATGGTCTCCACTTCCTTTTTTTGAATTTCTTTATTATCAATTCTTTGTTCAATTGCTTGTGCAAGCTAGTAAGAGGTGGAAGAATTGAACAAAGAAACAACACAGCAAAAGAAAGGAGAAACACTTCCCACCAAATAATAACTAGGAGCAGAGCTAACTCATTTTTAGTTCTGAATTGGATCGCCAGCAGGTATTTCTCTAATACCCAATTGTTATCGTTACTTATTTTTTTATTTCAGTTTGGCCGTGACTTTTTTTTTTCAATTTTTAATAGGGTTTTTGACTTTTATGTGGTTATGTTTTCTCTGTGATAGATTTTTTTGATTTTGATGTTGCAGATTTTGGATTTTAGGGAGGTTGGTTTGTCTGGAATTTGGTTTGCAGAGGATCAATGGTGGGGAATTAATTTAACAAGTTGGAGTTTGTGTACCTAGTTTTGCTTCTATGGATTGGTTGTGCTGTTTTGGTTCTTCTAAGGTAAAAATAATTAATTTCTACCTGTTATTGGTATTAAAATGTTATAAATTGGTTGTTGAAATATGGAGCTAGGGAAATTCTGCAAAATTTTATCCCTGTGGGGTTGAATTATGGGATTTTAGTGGATTTAGATTAAATAATCTACTTGGGGTTTGACGTGATCATTTGTATTGTGTTAGATGAGTCAAGTTACGATGATGTTATGTAGCTTAAATTTGGGTTATTTGGTGTATTTCTGTGTTTTGGAGAGTCTACCTTCTTGTTAGTTATTGTATCCAAGATTATAAAGGCCTGTGGTCTGCATGCTAGAATTTGCAGGGTATATTTAATTCCCTGTTGTGATTCAAAACGAAACTGCTTGATGTACTCAGAGATCTGCGTTATTACGTTGTTCCGCACGACCCACTGCTCAAAGACGCAAGATGAAAATATGGTTGTTTGTTTCCTTTTTTTTTTTTTTTTTTTTTTTTGTCAACGTGGCTGATCCGTGGGAGGTATGGCCTAGGTCTTGTCGACACGTGAGGGATGTTGGCTGTCGATCCTGTGCTTGGCCAGTGTGCGTGACTGAGGGGCGCGTCCGGGACCCTGAGTAGGACATGCTGGGATGTCCTGGGAATACGTGTCCGCGGCGCGGGCCGGGGGTCAGCCTTGCATTCTGGCTTGCTAAGAAATTTGCAGGGTAAATAGTTAGATTCCCTGTTGTGATTCAAAATCGAAAACTGCTTGATGTACTCAGAGAATTCTGCGTTATTACGTTGTTTCACGCACGACCACACTGCTCAAGAGACGCAAGATGAAAATATGGTTGTGTTGTTTCCTTTTTTTTTTTTTTTTTTTTTTTTCTATTATTGGATCAATGGGTAATTTAAATATGCCTTCATGATTGCTTAGAAATTGGAACTTCAATTGGTCCTAATTATCTTTCTCTTTTTTTTTTTTTTTTTTTTTTTTTTTCTCATTATTGATAATGTAATTTATATGCTTCATTTGCTTAGAAATTGGAACTGTATTGTGCTATTATTTCTCTTTATAAATCAATGCTATTGCTGCAGCATTCATCATCCAGCTCTGGTAAAGGAAAAAGCCATGAGGGTTTAATCAAGTATGGGTTTAGCCTAGTAAAAGGGAAAGCTAATCATCCAATGGAGGATTATCATGTTGCCAAGTTTGTGCAGCTTCAAGGACATGAATTAGGGCTTTTTGCTATTTATGATGGTCATTTGGGAGATGGTGTGCCCGCATACCTACAAAAACATTTGTTTTCCAATATCCTAAAGGAGGTGAATTACAGCTCCAAAATTCTAGTGGCCTGCCTAAATTTTTGTCTAACTTAGCTACATAATAATGAGAAGTGGCTTTTTCTCACCTTTATCATTTCATTATTCTAGGAAGAGTTCTGGGTTGACCCCAATAGATCTATCTCAAAGGCATATGAGAGGACAGACCAGGCAATTCTCTCTCATAGTTCTGACTTGGGGAGAGGTGGGTCAACAGCTGTAACAGCAATTTTGATAAATGGCCAAAGATTATGGGTAGCAAATGTTGGAGATTCTAGAGCAGTAATTTCAAGAGGAGGTCAAGCACTTCAAATGACTACAGATCATGAACCTAACACTGAACGAGGCAGCATAGAGCACAGGGGTGGCTTTGTTTCAAACATGCCAGGTTTTTTTTTTTTGACATTAGCCGTTATTGATAAAAAAAAAAGTCTATTTTGATATCTGCTTACGTGTAGTGTGTTTAATAGTATTCTTAAGAAAGATTGGGTGGATGCCTTCTAAGCATCCTTTTTTCCGGGTCCAATTCCTGATGGCTTGTAGTTGATGATCCATTCAATCTGTTGATGTACCTTGAAATTCTTAAGCAATTGAAATGTTAATATTGTCCAACACCAGATAAGATATTAAAATAACGAATTATTTGATTAGCTAGAATTTGTGATATTTAGATTGTAATATTGAGGTTGCTAATTAACTTTCTTCTGCATCAGAGTAATCATTCAAAGAAAAATTATAAACAAAAGGAAGCAAAAAATAAAAATCATTTGCTTTGTTCTACAAGTGAGGTAGTGTAGAAACTTTCGTGCACATTGTTCAAAAATTTTGTTTTGAAGGATTTAGCACCTTTGACATTGGCATTAAAAGTATGCGTCATTTTCCCTTTATCACGTACTACTGGATATGAACATTAAGAGGAAGCGTAAGTTTCCGGTTACAAGAATCCTTTTTAGTGCATTTTCCTTTGGGCTTCAGTGACTGAAGTGTTCGAAGACATTTCCTTGTCACTGATTTCCTCTCTGTGAATAAGAACAGAACATGAATTGAGAACTACTTCACTTACTTCAACCACTGGCATTAAAAATAGCTTTATATGATATTCTAACTTCTGAAATGACTTAATTATTGTGAAACATTTATGAGGGTTTTTTGTCATCTGATTGGTTGATCTTTCATTTATAAGATCTTTGAAGGTACTATGATAGTATTAACTGATAAGCATTGGAAAGAGTGCCTGCTCCTCTTTCTAGGAGGAACCTTGTTTTTCAACCAAATTCACTCATGTATTAACTCTAATAATTCAGGGCCAGTTGGAAGAGGGCAATTACATTTAACTATTAATTACTTTATATTATTATGTTATCATAGATAGGGTAATGTTACAGGTATACTAGCTGTTTATAAACACATTTCTGTAGCTTTCTATTGGGGCAGTCTGAACATAAGGCTATGGGGCATGTTTTCAGCTTTTGATAGTGAACATGGACAAGGAAATTCCTTGAAATTTCCTTATCACTAAGCATAATTTACAATAATATGAAGAGCCACTAAAGACTTTTTGTTGAACAGTTTCTTAATGCCAAGGGTAGTAATGAAGGTGACAAAAGATACTCCAAATAAAAGAGAGGGGCACTTGAAACAGAAAATATTTGGAGCCCTGAAACTCTTTCTAGGAAAAGAAATCCATGAGGGTTACTTGAAACAGAAAATCTTTGGGGCCCTGAAACTCTTTCTAGGAAAAGAAATCCATGAATGAGTTTCAGCTTTCGAGAAAAACAATCTTGGGATTGCTAGGCTGTGAACATGAAGTACTAAATGCATTAAAATATCTAGATTAAGGTACTTGGAATATCAAAGTTTGAAGAATTTCTATAGTTCAATTCATTGATTGTCATAGAGTTATTGCTACTTTATGGATGCTAGACAATGTTTTTTTGGACACCTTCAAACCAAAAAGGAAAACTCCACAAATTTAAGGAACCAGACAACCAGTTAAGACTTTTGGTCATTGGTAAGCTGTGGAGAAAGGGAAGTGAAAATTGATTAAGGCCATCGTTATGGAAAAGAATAAAAATAGTGCTTATTAACTTTTACAGTAGAATTCTTTGTGATTTAGATGAATCTTGCTGTGAGATCTTGAATTTTGCCTCAGTTTTTGCTGAGCTTGTTTTTGGCTACTTCAGTAAAGGCAATCCAAGTGGGAGAAAAGTAACTGATTTATAGAGTGGAACAAATATTTTGAGCTAATTCAATGATTTTAATTGTTTTAGGGCTTTATTTGGCTAATGTTATTGATTAAAATGACTGGCTAGGTTTCTCCTGTCAATTGTACCCAGGTGTAACATGTGAACTCAGACACAGATTCTGTTTCTCTGTGACAATTCTGCATAATTCTTTATGTATTTTAATTTGCCCTTTCTGCTTTTCATCTGAAGCTTAAACTGCAATGATCCTGGTGTCACTTATTGCAACTTTTTTCCAGAATTTTTTTTAAATCTTTTTATGGTCATTTTTCCATCTCCAGTTGAAGTTCATTACGTAGACGATTCAATTTCCCGAAAGAAGAGTGCCTTATTTCTTTTTCCTAATAATTTGAGACATTCGTTTTATGAATTATGATCATAGGAACCTAGCGATAAATTTTGCAGCATATGAAAATAAAAATGATCTGATTTTAACATAAAATTTGTATTTCCTGTTCTAATTGCATGTTATTGATTGTAACTTCAATCAACCTATAAAAGTTTATATGCAGACAAGTAATAAATTCTTGGTACTTTTTAATTTGCTTTTCAAGTGTTGAATGGTTGCTATAATCACACAAGGTTTGCAGTTAGGCATTCAAGTAGCATTCAATAAACTTAACTTACTTTCAGGAGATGTCCCCAGAGTCAATGGGCAGCTGGCAGTTTCTCGTGCGTTTGGTGACAAGAGCCTTAAATCACATCTGCGATCAGACCCTGACATACAAGAAATTAACATAGGGGACAATGTAGAATTCTTAATCCTTGCAAGTGATGGTCTTTGGAAGGTGAATCATTTCCTCAATTCTCTTGGTTAAATTCTTATCAACCATTGAAACTCTTTCTAGGAAAAGAAATCCATGAATGAGTTTCAGCTTTCGAGAAAAACAATCTTGGGATTGCTAGGCTGTGAACATGAAGTACTAAATGCATTAAAATATCTAGATTAAGGTACTTGGAATATCAAAGTTTGAAGAATTTCTATAGTTCAATTCATTGATTGTCATAGAGTTATTGCTACTTTATGGATGCTAGACAATGTTTTTTTGGACACCTTCAAACCAAAAAGGAAAACTCCACAAATTTAAGGAACCAGACAACCAGTTAAGACTTTTGGTCATTGGTAAGCTGTGGAGAAAGGGAAGTGAAAATTGATTAAGGCCATCGTTATGGAAAAGAATAAAAATAGTGCTTATTAACTTTTACAGTAGAATTCTTTGTGATTTAGATGAATCTTGCTGTGAGATCTTGAATTTTGCCTCAGTTTTTGCTGAGCTTGTTTTTGGCTACTTCAGTAAAGGCAATCCAAGTGGGAGAAAAGTAACTGATTTATAGAGTGGAACAAATATTTTGAGCTAATTCAATGATTTTAATTGTTTTAGGGCTTTATTTGGCTAATGTTATTGATTAAAATGACTGGCTAGGTTTCTCCTGTCAATTGTACCCAGGTGTAACATGTGAACTCAGACACAGATTCTGTTTCTCTGTGACAATTCTGCATAATTCTTTATGTATTTTAATTTGCCCTTTCTGCTTTTCATCTGAAGCTTAAACTGCAATGATCCTGGTGTCACTTATTGCAACTTTTTTCCAGAATTTTTTTTAAATCTTTTTATGGTCATTTTTCCATCTCCAGTTGAAGTTCATTACGTAGACGATTCAATTTCCCGAAAGAAGAGTGCCTTATTTCTTTTTCCTAATAATTTGAGACATTCGTTTTATGAATTATGATCATAGGAACCTAGCGATAAATTTTGCAGCATATGAAAATAAAAATGATCTGATTTTAACATAAAATTTGTATTTCCTGTTCTAATTGCATGTTATTGATTGTAACTTCAATCAACCTATAAAAGTTTATATGCAGACAAGTAATAAATTCTTGGTACTTTTTAATTTGCTTTTCAAGTGTTGAATGGTTGCTATAATCACACAAGGTTTGCAGTTAGGCATTCAAGTAGCATTCAATAAACTTAACTTACTTTCAGGAGATGTCCCCAGAGTCAATGGGCAGCTGGCAGTTTCTCGTGCGTTTGGTGACAAGAGCCTTAAATCACATCTGCGATCAGACCCTGACATACAAGAAATTAACATAGGGGACAATGTAGAATTCTTAATCCTTGCAAGTGATGGTCTTTGGAAGGTGAATCATTTCCTCAATTCTCTTGGTTAAATTCTTATCAACCATTATTTACAGTAAATAATTTGCTAGATCATGCTTCGTTATATAAAGGTCCCTTTTTATTTTGCCTGCAAATAATCCAGGTTGTGTCAAATCAAGAGGCAGTTGATATTGCAAGACGGATTAGAGACCCGCAGAAAGCAGCTAAGCAGTTAACCGCTGAGGCATTGAAAAGAGAGAGTAAAGATGACATCTCTTGTGTTGTTGTTAGATTTAGGGGGTAAAGCATTTTGAACACTATCGATATCCAGATGCCGCCTATATACCTATTATGGAAGTTCCTTCACACTGGTTGCTGATGTTGTGGATTAGACGAAAGACAATATACATACTTGGTTGGGGTAGCAGTTAAGGGTCTGAGTAGCTTGTACTTTGCCAAAGGGATGAACGGAAGGGTTCCCCACCCTTTTGTAAATTTATTTTATTGATTAGGTTTTGGTGTTTGATATTGTTTGATTTCTTTATGAAATTGAATTAGAAATCTTATGTTCATTGTCTTCTTATCCATCTGCAAAGAAGATCCAAATGTGTTTTGTTTTGATGAACAAAAATGGTTTTCGATTAGACTAGAGATTTTCAATAGTGGTGTATATTAAATGGTTTAAACAGTTAAACTGAATTAAATTATACCAAATCATCAATTTTTATCACTTTTTAATTGATTTGGTTCGACCTATAATTTGGTCAACGGTATTCAAGCCGTTTAAAAATTTTATAAATCATATAGCATCTAATTTTAGATTTATTATTACTTGATTTTAGTAGCTAAAATTATTTTCATATTAATTATTTAGTGAACCACTTTAAATGAATGCCAGTATAAAAAATAAAAAAAAATTACACTTATTTTTTCTTTTTATTTATTATTATGCAACCATTAATATTTATTTAGTAAATCAATTGGATGAAGATGGTCATGCTCAACCAGACAAATTTAGCTAATGTTTGTAAAGCTCTGCTGCGTGAGCTGCCTTCTGTCTTTTTGCATTTTGTTAAGCAATCAGCGTAGGAAAGGTGCTGCTCATGCAATTGCTAGGGTAGCCGGTTCTATGTCTGATATGATTGAATATGGTATGTCCTCCATCCTTCGATTTAATATAATTACTATTTCATTAAAAAAGAAAAAAAAGAAATACGGGCAAAAAAAAAAAACTAACTGGTGACGGTTGATGAGGAAGGTTAAACCGTAACTACTGGCCCAGGCCCAACTAAGAACCTAAAAGTTTGATTAGGGTTTTTCTGGGAGTTATCTTGTTCCCTATATAATCAACCCGAAGCAAGTATCTGTGCAACAGCAGGTAAGCACAACTCCTCTATCTCTAGTTGTTCATTCTGTGTAGTTGTAGGATTTGTTTTCCAAATTTTGAAAGACTGCCTCTCCTTTCGGCTGCAAGGTTTGAGATCTTCTGATCGATTTCTTGACGGCTTTGTTCTAGAGGCACATATTAATTAGCCAGAGTGTTTTGGGGGGTTTTTGCTCAGATTATTCGCATTTCTTGTGTTTTTCTGGCTCCCCTTCCTTTGGTACATATTTACATTTATGCTAAATTTCTTCTTCTATCGGTCAGTTGTTTTGTTCATTAATGGCAAAGTTTCTGTCCTCTGTTCGTTTAAAACGTCTAAGACATGATTGTTTGTTTCAAACGACATGAAGAACAGTAAGACAATTCATTTTGTTAAGAAATCTTATGTTTATATTATTAGAAAACTTAAAAGAAAAAATGATGGTGCCGTAGCTCTCTGGATATGAAAGTACATAATTGTTAGTAGTAATTTGTTAATGAAGAATAATCACTGGAGTCCAGAGATTGGTAATGGAGAAATCAGACTAATTTAAATGGAGGTATGGGTTTTCGGTTTTCGATATTGATCATTAATACAAGAGATGGATTGTGACATTCTAATTTTTACTTTTGTGATTTTGGAACATGAGAAGTTTTTCTAATTTGAATCTCATGAAACCGGAACTGAATTGAAATTCAACCAGTTAAAATTGACACTAAATCATAGTTAATAATTTTTGGTTTTAATCATATGGATATCACGTATTTAAGGTTCTGATTTGGTTTTTCATCATTTGAAATTGAAAACTGTGCTTTCGTTTTGGAACTGTTAAAAATATGTTAACTTTCAATTTGTTTTTTATTTTAATTTTTTAAAATAAATTTTAACATTTTTTGAAATTAGTTTAGTTTTTTTCAACAATAATATTTTTTTTTTTATAATTCATTGAAATTGCAAAATTAAAAAAGAAGTTTAAAAGCTTGAAATAAAAAAATTTGATTTTGATTTTACTTTTTTATAAATTTTGAAATTGAAACCGTAGAACTTTATGCTTACATAGATTTTTCTTTATAAATTCAAGATATATTTATATATTTCGGCGGATCAAATCAATAAAAAATAATTTGACTAATTCATTGGAAAGTAAAAAAAAGATAAAATGAGAATAATTAGGATGAGATAGAGACTACTTTAGCTTTATTGGCAACTCCATATCATTAGTAATCTATACAAATTGAATGGATGGAGTGGAGAAATAGAAATGAAAATGACTGTTATATGTCAATAAAGGAATAAGCTTTTTAATCTTATTGGAGTGTTTATTTGGTTGAAATCTGATAATTGTGACTGAAAAGCAAAATTCAAAATAATTGTTAATTTGGGACAACAATGAAACATGTTAATGTTATTTGAAATTCTAGAATGCTTGTTGCTTGATTTACTTGCATTAGATGATTGAACAACAAGGCTTATAGAAGATGCATTTTCTGTATATATTGTTTTTGTCTTTTTCATCTTTGCTCTTTCTTCCTATATTATCCATTGTCTGTTTGAAATCCAAATTAATTAAACCTAAAACTGATACATTAAAATGTAATCAACACAATCTGTATTTCATGTGAAATAAAAATATTAAAAAAAAAAAAATTCTAAACCAAATAATTCAAAACAACAAAATTCAATTTAAATAACTCATATTTGTGAATAAGATAATAAAAGATGGGGTTAAAAGATAACGTAGGATTTGAAATTTGATTTCCTATAATTCAAAATTTTTTAAAACAACTATAAACTAGATAAAAAAAACCCCTGCAGAGTACAAACTTGCTATTTTTGGATTTTGTTTTAATTTAGCTTTGAAGAGGAAGATATGTCAGTATCACTGGAAGCTTTGGCAATGGCAGGGGCAGATTATGCAGAGTGTAAGATAGATATTGGATGGTGGGAAAAAAGGAACAGAGATTTGCCAACCTATCTGTTAGCTGAAAGGTACATCCAAAACAGGAATAACGACTACTGTTTCTGTTTATATTCCTCTGATCGCTTATCAAATGTATGCGAGAGATGCAAGTTCACAACATATTCAAGAACTAGTGTTAGAAAGATGATTAGCAAGAGTAGCTTAATTTCTGTGGGAAAGTTCGTGATGGAAGCAATAAAAAAAGTTCTTAAGTTAGTGGTACTTAAGTAAAGCTCTCCCAACGAGCAGGTAGAATTCTTTTAGATACGTAATTTCGACTGTTTCTATTAGAATTTTCATTTTTAATTGTCATTTCTTCTCTTTCTTAAACTTTTTATTTTCAACATGTTTCTAAATAAATTGGTTTTATTTAATATCGGTTTTATATCTTCTTATACAATTATATTTCTCATTGAAAATATAAAATAAGCATATCAAAATGTTAGGTTGTAAAAGCTAGTATGAGTGATGGAGCAAAATTAGCCAACAAGGCCTTTTGTTTGATCCATATATGTGGGTGTGAGCTTCCTATCATTGTTGTTGCTGCCACTGTGGTCCAAATAAGGGCTAAGCATTACTATTATTTAACCTTACTGGGCCAACATCTACCAATCTTTAAATCAATTAATTATCCAACCATTTACTTATTTTCTTAGGTTCATGGCACAAATTAATAGATTAATATATTTGAATTAAAAATTTTTTTCTCACATACTGTTTTGTATATTTCTTTTACAATAAAAATCAAATAAAATCACACAGTATTTGCAAAAAGAAAAAAGAAAAGAAACTAGCAACAAATATCCAACTGTGTGTGAGACACATGAAAGATGGAAGGAACCCATGCCCATGCCCATTTAGCGTCACATTATTTTTCTATTATTTACTATTTTAAATTTATTTGGATTATTTTTCTACGTAGATATTAAACTAGAAAATTCAGAAAATTAATTTTTAACTACTCAATCTCCGGTGTGCGTAATAATTACTCCACTATGACTTTCTCCTTTTTTTTCTTTTATTCATTTTGAATAAAAAATCCAATCACGTTGTACCCACGTACATAAATAACATTATGCTTAGTATATTTATAAATTTTAATAATATTATACATATTTCCATGTTATTAATAATTAATTTTAATTTTTTTAAATATTAATTTAATGTATGGCTAATATAATTTTTTAAACAATAACAATCACGTGATAAATAAATTTAATTTTATAAATTAAAGTATTTAAATATATGTAATTTTATGCATTTAGAATGCTAAATTAATTCTTTTCAGAAAAAAGCATACTCAATTAATTGTGCACTAAAAACATGTTTCTCGAACAAGTCGCATATAGTCCAATCCAACCATCTAAACAATTTCTGGTCCTGGCGTTACCTTGCTTCTAGAAAATGACAAGGTGTTTTAGCATCACGGAGGCGAAGAACCGGTGCCATAGATCCACTTTCACCAAATCTGGGCTCCGATCCACCATCACGGACCTCAAAGATGGCACCGTAATGCACTGTTGGATTCCCAACTCACCAACAGACTCCAAACCCAATCTCCTCCTCATCCATGGACTAGGGGCCAACGCATTATGGCAATGGGGCGATGTCATCCGGCACTTCACTCCTCACTTCAACGTCTACGTCCCGGACTTGGTCTTCTTCGGCGAGTCCTTCACAACTCGGCCGGAGCGGACTGAGTCGTTCCAGGCACAGTGTGTGATGCGAGTTATGGAGGCCAATTCAGTACGGAAGCTGAGTTTAATTGGGCTTAGTTATGGCGGGTTTGTTGGGTACAGTATTGCGGCGATGTATACGGAGGTTGTAGAGAGAGTGGTGATTTGCTGCTCCGGTATTTGCATGGAAGATAAGGATTTGGTAGAAGGGGTTTTTGCAGTTTCGGATTTGGAGGAAGCTGCTAGTATTTTGGTGCCATTAAGAGCAAAGAAGCTTAGAGAGTTAGTGGGCTATACGTTTAATAGGCCTCCTCCCGTTGGGTTAATCCCTGATTGCTTCCTCGTTGATTTCATAGATGTAAGTGCTCTAAATTCTTGTCTAATCACTTTTTTTTTTTAATTATTAATTATTAATTGTTAATAATCTCGTTGGGGAAATTTTGTAGTTATAATTTTTAGTATTTAATGAAAGAAATTGGTAAACACTAATTGATTTCCAATTAACCATACTAGCAAGTTCCATGAAAATGAGACGTATTATATGTATTTCTTGGGTTGGCAAGGCAATGTGCAGAGATTATGTGGAAGAGAAGAAAGAATTGATAAGAGCCATTCCTAAAAATAGAAAGCTTTCAAACATTCCCAAGATAACTCAGGTATCGAAACAAGCATTTCCTTTTTCAATTTCTTTGTTTGGATAAAGTTCAATGAGATGGATTAACCAAATGATTTCATCTGTGCTGAAGCCAACATTGATAGTCTGGGGAGAAAACGATCGAATATTTCCTTTGGAACTGGGTCACAGATTAAAAAGGTAATGCATTTTGTTTCTATATATAGAATTGGCTCCTAAATGGGTCGTCTAAAGTGTTAAAATTATGATGTTAGGCATTTAGGGGATAATGCCCATCTGGCAGTCATCAAGAATGCAGGGCACGCCTTCAACGTAGAGAAGCCAAAGGAATTCATCAAGCTATTGAAAGCATTCCTGGTTGATTTGCGAGTTCCTCCAGAAACAAACCAGCTTCAAGTTTCCAAAACATCATATGATATATCGGAGGATAAAGAAGCACAGGCAACAAGCTCCTGAATACACCAGTTCTTGTGTCCTAACCTACGCATTCATGCCTGTGTTTTAACAGTGCATTCAAAATGTAATTGTGGATTTTCAATTTATCTGTGCCTCTAATCTATGCTTTGAAAATAATGACACCAAACTTTAAAAAAAAAAAAAAATTGAGCTACTGGAATTGAAATATGATGAGCAACGAGCATTTCACATTTCATAATCTGTCCACGATGACAAGAACAAGAACCCTCGCCACCGAAGGCCCCATCACAAGTTGGCAGTACAGACACCAATACCATGGCCTGCCTTGTAAAAAGGTGCCAAAATGTCTCACCATGTTAACGTTTGCCATAGAAATCACAAGCATTAATAAAAAAATATTAGCCAAATTAAATAAATAACCGTACGATCAAGGAAATGACCAATACTGAAAAGTCCAACTCTCTAGAAGGTTAAGATATTTTTCAGTGAAAGAAATAGATAGGCATGCAAAGAGAAAACAATAGCTAAATTGATAAATTCACAGAAAGTAAGACACTACAATAGAATATGTAAATTCAAATACCAACTTGACCTGCAGCTATCGATTTAGAAAGCATACCACAAACATGCAAGTAGCAAGTTCAATTACATTATCGATGCAAAGCAGACATAACAATAGTCGGGAAACATCTGTTCAGAACAAATAGAGACAAGACAATGGTCCACCATTCCCTGTACTACCTACTAAAATGATCATCGTAGTTCATCCTTTCCTCTCCAGTGAACCCAGTCTAAAAGAATCGTTCCCTTGTTCTCAACTAATTCTGCAAAATTCAATAAAGGAGAAAATAAGAAATGTCATAACAAGCAATGCCACCCAGGAGACACCTGGAAAAAATTTCAACATGCTAGTGTTATGTCAACCAAGTAACAAGTTATCTGGAGGTTAAAACTTACCTTATTCATCAAATGCTACTTAAAAGCTTAAACTTTAAGGTCAACACATTGTTTAACATTGTATATTATAACCTCCGTCATTTTGTAGTCCAAAATCCACATACTCAGCACTTATATACTAATAATCATAGTTAATTCCCCCTCAAAACACTTCCAAGTTCAATGTGTTTCACCAGAACGGGCATGTTATCCATGCAAACATATCATTAATTTGCACCAATACTTAATTTCTTCTAACAATGTTTTTTCATGATATGGCATATACAATTAATGAATAAATGTGTAAACGCATAAATATTCACAAAACTTAATTCTATCTTACCTCAGCTTGTGGTTCATCACCTTTAGATTGCTCACCTGCCATTGACATTTTGTAGAAAAATTAATGACAATTATGAATGGATCAAGCCACTGGTGAATCTATATTTAATTCCATCAATCTGTTAAGGAGAGAGAAAAATCCCTATGCCCACACCCACAAACACCAAAGAAAAGAGGAAGAGATAAGAGCAAGGAGAGGAGAGAAAAGAAGAAGAGAGGAAGGTGTGTGGGGGGGGGGGGGGTGTTGGGGTTGAGCGGGGGGGGGGGGGTGTTGGGGGTTGAGCCTCTTGAAAAATAATATAAAAAATAATAAAAGTATAAATATTCAGTTAGAAAAAGGCAGCATATAAACTACAACTTCTGATCTAGAGACTTGGGCCATTTTTTTGCATAATTCAATCTATGTCCCATAAGTTTAACATGTAAATGAAAAAGTAAGGAAAGATCACTTGTTGCTGACATAGAACAGATGTTATTACTCTACTAGGCTTTAATATTGCTGCTTCGTGAGAAACTGCAAGCTAAGCATATAATTCTTTAGGTATAGTATGACCATTGAACAACAAGCGTAAAAATAAATCCTCATTTACAGATTTCAAAATTTATAAAGATAATTTTCCAAATCCTTGTTTCAACAAATGATCCGCTGTCTCAAAGAGATCCAGAATCATTTACCTCCCTCCTCTGGCAGGTCTGAGGTCCATAAGGTAAGATTATCTCTCAGAAGCTGCATGATAAGGGTGCTGTCCTTGTAAGATTCTTCATTTAGGCTATCAAGTTCTGCTATTGCTTCATCAAATGCTTGTTTGGCCAGGTGACAGGCCCTGCACGACACAGATGGTAGATCAAAAATATAGTACAGAACGCACAGCTGCTACAGCAAAAAATAGTATTAAGAATTTTTATGTGGTTGTGCTTGTGCAAGCAAAGGAAACAACAGAGAGAGAGAGAGAGAGAGAGAGAGAGAGATATGCATCAACCTTTCAGGAGAGTTCAAAATCTCATAGTAGAAAACTGAAAAGTTCAAAGCCAGGCCAAGCCTGATTGGATGCGTAGGGGGTAGGTCTGAGGGAGAGAGAGAGAGATATGCATCAACCTTTCAGGAGAGTTCAAAATCTCATAGTAGAAAACTGAAAAGTTCAAAGCCAGGCCAAGCCTGATTGGATGCGTAGGGGGTAGGTCTGAGGCTGCAGTAGAGGTGGCAGCCTGCAGGCATAAATAATGGGGGCAGTAATCTTAATAATTATCAATTAACTTCATATTTATAGGTTTGGAAGTGACAAAGTGATACAGAACCCAAGAAATTTCAAGAGGAGAATTGCAAACACCTCATAAGCCTTAAGGGACTGATCTGCAGCTTCTTTACGATCATCACCACTTTTAAACTCGGCTAAATAACGATAATAGTCTCCTTTCCTGAAAATAACAGGAAATACACATGCATCAGAAACAATCAACAGAAGATTTAGAATTACAAAATTAAATATTCACATCTACATGCAAATTCTATACCGACAGAGAGAAACTAGAACGAATTAATGCAATCCATGCCAAATGCACACAAAAAGTGATGGATTCAAAGCAGCATATGATATAGAACACAACTATGGTTAGTAGACCAAAATGCCCTTCACATCAGTGACTTCTACATCCAATTTCAATGTATTAGAACACACACTGCTTTCCTATGCTTATTCTACATTAATGAATTTGATACCATGGATCCATTGCATCAACCAACCAACCTAATTTAAATTTATATTTTCTGATTGTCTATACTTTATCCTTGAAGTGTTTATGATCCTACCAGAAGTCTTTTATCCCCATTTTAAGACCCATCCCTCGTCATCCAAAAATAACTCAATATCAAACCATTGAAAAACAAAAATCTCACATCTTATAGTAAAATACAGTTGATTCCCCTGTGGTGGAGGAAGGAAGAAGATGCTCATCGATTACTGATAATATGTCATTGCAGATCTTTGCGAGCTCATCTTCAACCCGCTGCCTGTAATCTTTTATCCTCTTCACATTTTGTTCATTCCCCTTTGCCTCCTCCTTTTGCTCTATGGAAGACAATATCCTCCAAGAAGCTCTTCTTGCCCCAATGACATTTTTGTAACCTACAGATACCAGATTCCTCTCCTCCACTGTCAATTCCACATCTAACTTGGCAACTTTCTTCATTGCTTCAACCATCTCTGCAAGAAGTTGGCACGAACAAGAACATTGTCAAGCTGAATACCTACATTTTGTTTTATTATTCATTTGATTGTAGAAACAAATAAATACAGGAAGCATTTAGAAGAAAAGAAAAGCTCTAATCCAACCAACAACAGATTTTTCACCTAAATGCCAGTATAAATAAAACCATTAAAATAAAAGCATGGTATAATAAGGCTGAAACATGCACATTTTAAGTAAGAAACCTCCTATACTTTGGATATTTTATTCAATATCTTGATTCTTCAGCAAAATTACAGTTAAATGCAAAATCAATTTCATCACCAAAGGGTAAAAAAAGCATGAAAACTGTTCGTATAAGCAACTAATAATTCAGTCAACTCAACAAATACCAGAATAGCTGCAATAATATTCTTCTCCATCCTGCTGCTACCCAAACTTTTCACTTACAAGAAAAATGTAGAAATGCAATGAAAGGGATTAATTAAATCACAATTGAATTACAGCAATTCGTTCTCTCATTTATCCTCTTGTAAATATATTCAATCTCATTTATCCTCTTGTAAATATATTCAATCGCTTGTCATATGATAATTGTGCATCAAAAAACTATGTGAATCGGTAAAGATTGTGTACAAAGAGCAACAAAATCAAGAACAAGCCAATACTTAACACTTACAGTTTACTCAATTACTCAAATAGCATAAAATGACAAGGTAAAAATATAGCAGTAGCTTAAGTTAGTCAGACAGTGATCGATGGTAAACCAACAATTAGGAGTAAGGCGACATGAAACCCACTAATTACCACTACCAAACCACAAATCCGAACCAAGCAGTACCTAGATATTTCTATATCGTGTATGAAAAACAATAAGTAAGCACAAGCTAACTGGATATGTACTCGGCTACAATTCACCGAACAAAAAATGGAAAATAAGAGATCCAAGAAAAATGAAAGGCCTCGATCATACGTTCATGAATAACCAGAAATTGAGCATACCATCGTATCTCTCGGCTTGCTCAGCAAGTCTAGCCAAGTAAACCTGCTGCTCTCTCTCCTTCTCCATTCTGTTTCTGATTCGCTGCGGTCTGTCTGCGCCGTGAAATCTTTCGTTGAGTGGTTTTTGGTGGCTGAACAAATGCTAGGAGATATGCAGGTACTTTGCGAATAAACCGTTGGATTTCGAAACGGTGAAAATCCACGACTGAGATCGTGTTTTGGAAATTTGGGTTCGATGTGGAAACGAGGCCTGCTTGTGTTAGGGTTTGGGAGAAAACTGACCGTTAGATGGAAATATTAGGAGCATAAGGTGGGATTGACGTTGACTCTAGGGAGCAAAGACCGACAGTCTCATTATCATTGTTGGTGCCTTGGTGGCGCGGTAGATTCACCACGATTACTTATTATCATGTTGGAGGTCCATTTTTGTCAGATTGCTTGGATTTTCTTTTTCTTTTTTTTTTTTTTTTCCTTTTTCTAAGGAAAAAGTTAAAATTAGTTTTTTAATCATTAAATATATCTTGCACCCATCAGGTTGAGTGGAAACTGGAAAGAACTCACGAGTCATGTCCTTAAGTAAAACAATTGAGAGTTTAGTCCTTATAAGGAAGATAATTATTGCTGTAAATGCTTTCCTCTTTTTTTTTTTTTTTTTTTGATAATTATTGCTGTAAAATGCTTTTCCTCTTTTTTTTTTTTTTTTTTTAGGGAAAGCATTTTACAGCAATTTTTAATTACCATACTTAATATTTAACTTGCACGAGGGCATAAATTATATTTATGTATGAACACTTTGTGATTTTAATACTAAAAATAAAAATTTTTTTTTTTTTTTTTTTTTAGGGAAAGCATTTACAGCAATAATTACCATACTTAATAATTTAACTTGGCACGAGCATAATTATATTTATTGTATTGAACACTTGTGATTTAATACTAAAAATAAAAAATATATATATCGCACTCTTATCGAATAATTTACTATTTAGTTTATGTAATTTAATAAAATTAATTATCTAATTCTTATATTTTAAAAATATATATTATTTAATATGTAATTACGTAATTCTTACATTTTGAAAAAATATATTATTTAATGTGTTATGCGTTATCATTAGCTTAAAAAAATAAAATAAAACAAAATATGAGCGTTATTATTAACATCTATATTAATAACATATAATCATTTTCAACCTCGTTGAGTAACATTTTTCCTTAATATCTTTTTTCTTATTGAAGGTATTTTCATCTTTTCAATGAGCATTTAATAAAAAAAGATAAATTTGGAATGAAAAGACTTACTAGTTCAATAATTGCAAAACAGAGCCATTAGATGATGAATTTTTTTAAATAAGAGGTTCAGTAGTTAATTTTATCAAACTATCGGAACTAAATATTAAGTTTTCCGTTGCTCTCATTGGAAATATTAGTCTCGGCCCTTTAAACACGGCCCAATCCCAAGTAGGCCCACCATAGAGTGAAAATCATTTTGTTTTCTAAAGGATTTCCGCAATATAAATCGGGTTAATAGTCACAGTACAATCCCCATTATTTTTACAGCAGTTATTTTCTTGTTTAGCGATCGAAGCAGTGAATTTCACCGTATGGACCCCATCAAATACTCCGACTTGACGATTTCCTTCTCAGTTCCCGCCACTCCATCTCTCCGCTCGAAGCCTTAGATTATCTCGTTTCCTCTCCCTCGCCTTCAAAAATTATCCTGGGAACCAAACCGAAAGTTAGGGTTTCAGATGTCATTCTTTAAACCCTCCCTCTCCCAATTTAGCCCAAGCTCACCACCAAATTGACTAATTTCCCTCTGCCAGTTAAACAACCGGGTAAAAAATTGAATCTCCAGCCTAAGATTTTTTTTTTTGGGCACTTTGGTTTGTATTAGCTCTCGTAAATGCCATTTTTGTATTTGTGGAATGGCCAATTCCAGTCAAGATTTCTCTCAATTGAACATTTCGGAAGAGGAAAAGGACAAGCTTGTAGCGGAAGTGATACGATACGTGCTTTTTAAAACGCACCAGAACTCTGGGTGTCCGATCAAGAGGGATGAACTTACTCAGATAGTGACTAGAAATTACCACCAGCGATTGCTTCCTACTCTTGTCATTAATGAGGCCATAGCTAAGCTTTCCACCATATTTGGCTTCGAGTTGAGGGAGCTTCAAAGATCTCGTCCTTCCTCCACGAATCAGCAAAGTAAAGAAAAAAATGTTTCTTTTCTGTGAACTTTTTTTTCTAAGCAACTGTTACATTTCAAATAGCTATATTAGAACTGGTATAACATCAATGATCATATACTTGTGGGTTTGATATTGAATGTAGGGTTTATGATACAAAACGTGGAAGGAAATGTATGACTAATATTTCAATTTTGTTTCCAATGCAACCGTTGGCTGTAAGTAATTTGAAGTGGTTATATGCCATGAGCTTTTGTCACGATGGTAACCTTCCATCTAGTAGGTATAACTACTGTAAAAGCCTGTCAATCTCCACCTAGCCTACATATTTATTTTTATAACCATTACAAAAAAGTAAGGATTAGATTTCCTGAGTTGAATTCATGGGGCCATTTATAATTAGGATAGGTTACTCAGGAACATTGAATCCACTGTTATTTTGTTTGTATAGAGAAAGTATATTGGACCAAGCAATGAAAGGGACATTTGTTTCCCTCCCATGTCTAACGGTTATTTATTCGCATTAGCACAGTTTTCTCTTTTCATCTTTTTGTTGGATGTGGTTTTGGATCTAACCAAATTTCTTATGATGCATCATTTGCAGGTGTTGCTGATGCTAAATCATATGTTCTCATCAGTAACCTACCTGTAGATGTTTACAAGAAATATGTTGATGACGAAACCACAGCACATCTAACTGGTTTTACATTTGTGGTAATTAGTATTGTGCATCTTGCCGGAGGCAAAATCCCAGAGGGTCTGTTTCTAATCGGGCGATATAATTTGCAATTTTGTAGATACTAGACGATTCTAAGCTAAAATTTTGGTTGTTACATAACCTTTTTGTGCTACTGTCCTCTAACACGTACTGTTCACTCCTACTGTGCAGAACATCTTTGGCATCATTTGAGGCGGATGGGTTTACATGAAACTGATGAAAGCCATCCTGTTCTTGGAAACATTAAACAAGCATTGGAGACACTCGTCCAGCAAAGGTTAGAACTATGAGATGGCATGCATCGGTTATTATACAGCAATTCTATTGAAACAGTTTCTTTGTGCAGGTTCTGCTTTGTGTTAATAATCTTCACTTTTATGCAGATATTTGCAGAAGGACAAAGTTAACAGTCCTGAAGGTCATACTTTGTTTTATGAGCTTGCTGAGAGAGCTTTAGATGGCCCAGTTAATGACAGAATTAAAGAATACATATCACAGGTATTAATTTAGATATGAGCTTTACAGCTTGATGTTTCCTTTTTATGGTCATGATGCACATTGTAGTGTTTTTTCTTTATAAACGTAGTTCCTAGTTGAAGGACATGCAAGTACTGTAACTAATAGAACCCAAGAGTATGATAGTTCAAATACAACAACAACAATAACTACAACAACTATACCTTAATCCCAAATTAGTTGGGGTTGGCTATATGAATTTGTCTCCATTTTTTACTTTGTTCATAGTTAAATCTGCTTTAAGTGCCAAGTTACATAGATCTCTTGCTATGACTTCCCTTCATATTGTTCTAGGTTTACCTCTTCTCTGTTAGCACCGTCAACCACCAATGTATTACACTTACAAACTGGGGGCACGAGGGTCTACGTAAGATATGACCAAACCATCTTAGAGTTTCTAATGCTTGGAAAAGATTTATGTTAACAGTAAAACCATTCAACAAACTATAATATTTGAGATAGTGCTTTATAAATTATGGTATGATTTGGCATTTGAAAAATTGAAAGTGATGTTGGCAGATTGTGAACAAGGAAGTTGCCACTGTGGAACTTGAGTAATACTCTAGAGTCAACTCTTTAGCAACTAAGTGGAGGAAACTACAGTTCGATCTTCTTATCAAATGGGTTTCCCTACTTTGAGGACTGTTCTCATGCACATCAACTGTTTTTGCATTTTGGAGTAAAGGGTCTGAAGTCTGCTTCCTGTTTAGGAAGCTGGGAAATTTTTGCAAGAAATACCAGAGAGTAATTTGCATTGTGCATTCTTTTTTTTCTTTCTTTTCGTTTTGTTTTGCACACAACTTACTTGCATTGGAGTTGCAACATGGGTCCTGCATCACCCCCATTGAGTGGTTTGCTTGAAGTAACTTCTGACCCTGCATTCTATTACGTAGTGTTTGGAAGAAATGCACATGGAAATTCACACTTGCAAATGAATTTTACTGAAGAAATTCATTTGTTTAGTCAAATTCATTTGTAAATGAATTTTTATGTTTGGATCAGCAATAGAGTTTGTGCTAAATATATAACTTTACTAATTCGTGCGCTGAATTCATTAGCTAAAATAGCTTGTATTCTATTTAAGTTTAGATTCCTTTTGTAAATTCTGTCAATCATGGTAGAATTTAATCTAATCAAGTCCATAAAATCGAAATTGTAAGATTCCAAATAAGTTCTCATTTGTGGCAAACAAGAAATTTTGGATTTTAAAACAATTCCATAAAAATCGGTGGAATCATTTATAGCAAATGATATTATAATTAACTTCTGCAAGATTTTGTATAAATTTTAGGTACAGATGCAGAAAGCACTACGAATATCAATTTAATCCCCAAACTCAATATTGTATCTATTCAAATAATGAATGTAATACAAAATTTCAATTAAAATATTCTGTAAATGAATTATTGTAATCTCAAATTTGCTCACCTGGATATTATTACAGAATAAAATAATTACCAGACAATGTATTTGCAAGTTATTACATTCTTAGTGCATAAAATTGTAGAAAATGCAAAATTGACAATGCTAGTTTAATCAAACAGAGCAATTTTTCACCTAAAATGTATTGTTCGTGTACGCTTAAGCTATAATTGAAATAGTTGTGATTGGTAAGTAGTGAAATGTTACGGGGAAAAGGCGGGTTAAGGATCGGGTACTTGAATGCCATCTTTCGAGAATTTTAATACATAAGGTCGTGTGATATCCTCAAAAAAAAAAAAAAAAAATTGGTAAGTTAGTGAAATGTTACGGGGGAAAAGGCGGGTTAAGGATCGGGTACTTGGAATTGCCATCTTTTTCGAGAATTTTAATACATTAAGGTTCGTGTGGATTATCCTCAAAAAAAAAAAAAAAAAAACAAGAACAGCAGGGCCACGTTTCCCTAATAAAATCACAGTTGGCAGCAACATTCTTTCATTCTTAAAAAAAAAAAAAAAAAACAAGAACAGCAGGGCCACGTTTCCCTAATAAAATCACAGTGCAGCAACATTCTTTCATTCTTTTGCCTGTTTCTCAACTCCCAACGCTACCTTACAGTTACAGGTCCTAACAGGTAACAACCCATTCAAAATAATATATAACACCTTAGATTCAGCATCCGTGACAAAGTAGTCTTAAAACACTCGAACAGCTTGAATGAAAAGAACAATAAATAGGCAAGTGCACTGAGAAGTTTATCAATTTATATTTATACACAAATTGGATTTCAATTATTGCTTTAATGGCAAATAAATTGTATACTAAATCGGTTAAAAAATATGGACAAATGAGAAATGGGTACTACATCGTCAACATATTTCACATTGCCACAAACATTGGACCCAAATTAAACTACAGCCAGGGATGCCAAGATGATTCTGAACTGCCACTCCTTCCGAGTAGAACATGCAGCAAACTCTTTGCAGGAGTATCAAATACCTAGTCCTGACATTAGATAAAAGTTCAGCGACATTCACTAATCGGTGCACCCCTGCTGGTGCTTGCATCCCCTATTGACACTGTAGCAAGGGATTTGGAAGCCCATGCCCGGGCATTCATTGCTCCTTGTAAATTACTTTTCCTGCAAGGCTCCTTAAGAGAATTTAACACCTGTATTATCTGATTCAGATAGACCCGAGGATGCTCCAACAAGCTCCGCAATCTCATGTTCCGAAAGTGCCTTCCCCAGGCAAATTTAGCAAATACAAGCAGAGGAGGGAAAAAGAAATAAACCAATCTCAAGAGCACAAATGCAGTTGCGAAAGCCAAATAGGTTTCCTGTCTAAACAGATTTTCAGGAGATCTTGCCCATGAGAATGGGCAACTTTCTTGCTCATCGCTATCATGCTTTTCATGGTTTGATGGGTGTACAATTTTGTCTAGGGATCCTTTATGCAGCGATGCAGTCTCGATGCCTACAATCAAGAAGTCAATAACTAGCTCATTAGATCCTGAATGAGAAATATGCTTCAGTGGAAGCTATGTAAGGGAATAGCATATCCCACAAGAAAAGATTCACTGTCAATGCATTACTCTATGCAGTGCAGAATAGCACTGTTAACACTTATGATTTGCTAAATCATCTAAAACATAAAGAGGCAAAATATAGATATTGTTCTGGAAGAGTTCAAGGATAACAAGCTATATTTAATAAACAATTAACTATCAGGATGATGCTACTAGTTCCAACATAGTCAAATGGATGAGATAATGCGCTGAAACTAAGAAAAAAAGAAAGTATGCCGTAAAGAAGACTAGAATAATAGCCTTACCTGTAACATCAGTATAAAAAGCAACTAGAGAACCTAAAGTCCGGGAGCCATGATATCGATCACGCATAGTAGAATTAAAAATGTATAGAGTTGGAAATCCATGAACTCCATACTTTGAGAGTATACTGCAAAAAACAATTAATTTTATACTTAACAATCAACAAAATAAATTCACAAACTGGAAACAAACTGAAAAAAGCTATGAAGATACTCTTCCATTTACAAACCTTGGCCTAACAGATGATTCCTCAATTGCGAAATGTGGGATAGATGGATACAGAGAGGAAAGGAGGGAGAAGCTTGGTCTAAAATTCCTAGAGAAAGGGCACCATGATGCATAAAAGAGCACAGCTAAATATTTGTAGCCATTCTTGTGAACCATATTCAATGCCTTCTGCAACGAAACCTCATCACCCTTCACAGTAACAATCATAAAATTCAATAGAACTCTACAACCAATACAATGAAAAGAAAGCAAAAGCAACCTTGCACAATCTAAGGGTCATCAATATCCCATCCAGATAATAAACAAATAAAGCATCAGTGTCGTCCAGTACGTTCCTGCAATCACCTTAATATTTCACCAGAAGAATTTTCCCTCCCCACAACCATTTTCTATCCAGGTTCCACTGCTGATACACTACGAGTAGCAAAATTAGTCAAGCCCAAAAAGATAAACACTAGTCAGGGGCTCAAAGAGTAAATACTTTATAATGGGAAAGTATTATTTACAGATTCCCTCTGGCATGTGAAAACCAATTTTCATCAAGTCAAATGTTTTCTGTGAGACGATTGGTAACCGAAATATGCCTAGTAGGTTTACAAGCTATGTTATACTACATGTACACCATGAATCAGGTTTTTGTGCATAAATAAAATCAGACACATGATCCAATAATCCAAAAACAAAGGAAGATAAAAGCAAATAAAAAAAGCAACACGCAATTGATTATACCCATAAAAAACGAAATGTAAAAAAATAAATTCGACATACCTCGATAACACCAACGAAACCAGGAGATTCAGCAGTGTCATACACGATGCAGCTTCGATCTAGAAATCCAAAGATCGAATCTACAAGGGACTCTCTAGGGCACATTAAAACCCTACTAGGGTCTGCGGCGGCGGCGGATATTGGGCTCCACATCATCAAAAGCACAAAGAGAATTCCGATCCGCCTTAGCCAAACCCTAGCTCCCATCATTGAAAAACCCAAAAAAAAAAAAAAAAAAAAAAAAAAACCCATCATGAAAAAACCAAAAAAAAAAAAAAAAAAAAAAAAAACAAAGCAAACACCCAGCCAAAAAACTGAGAAAAAAAAAAAAAAAAAAAAAAAAAAAACAAAGCAAACACCCAGCCAAAAACTGAGAAGCAACTATAAATCAGGGTAGTGAAGAAAAGAATAGGAGAAGGGGAGAGGTAGATGAGCGAAACCGGCGCACTTTAGCGTCCATGGACAGCTCGTGTAAGAGGGAGGCAGGAAAAAATCATATTTATGGAAACAAAACAGACGTTTAAATATGATATTTCGGATTCTTAAAACAAATTTCAGAAAAAAAATTTTAATTTAAAATAAAATAAAATCAATAAATATTATAAGTCTGGTTAAGGAAGGAGGACGACGAAGTGAAAGGTGAAGATAACGAAGGGGACAAAAACGGTAGCGCTTTGGCCAGGTTTGCAATCGAACCGAGCGAGTCGCTGCGGTTGTATTCCTGTATTTGCAAAGTGCGTCAAGTCAACTTGCGCGTTGCATTAGGGTAGACTGTAAAGTGGTCTTCACACGGTCCCGAGGGAGCCACGTAATTTTGAAAAATATTTTGAGGTCACTGGATTTTTATAAAATTTATTTATTCGTCCTCACTATATATACAAATTGTTTGATAGTCCTTGAAGTCTCAAAAAACTGATAATTTTTCTGTTAATTATATACGAAAACACCTAAATCACTTCGAGCCAGAAAAAATATTACTTTTTCAACTGAAAGACTTAAGATTCAGAAGAAGGCATATATCAGGACTATGAAATAATTTATATAAACAGTATAAAAATCTAGGGGCTTTAAAAAGATTTTTCCATAATTTTATGATATTGTCTATATATAATTTAATTGTAGATTTTATTTTCAAAATAAAATAAAATATTTTTTATTGTTGTTCTATTGAATAGTTTTCGTTTTTTTTTTTTTTTTTTTTTTTTTTTTTGGAAAAGGAGTTGTTTTTGTTTAGTTTAAATTATATGAAATGAGAATTTATTAACAAAATTTTAAAATTTTTTTTTGAAAAGAAAACTTTTCAATTTTTCTTTTTTTTTTTTTTTTTTTTTTTTTTTTGGAAAAGGAGTTTGTTTTTGTTTAGTTAAATTATGATGAAATGAGAATTTTATTAACAAAATTTTAAAATTTTTTTTGAAAAGAAAACTTTTCAATTTTTCATTTTTCACATCATCAAATAAAATGCTAAGTTTGTTTTCCTTTTCCTTAAATTTTATCTGCCATAATTCATAAATAAAAATTCATTAGAAATAACAAGTCAGTTATATATTTGATTAAATTATTATTGGATGAAGTTTGCCAATAATGAAATTTAGTTTCTTCTCTAAAAGGATAAAATTGAAAGGAAAATAATTTTATTCGACTATTTTTGTTAATTAACCAAAAAAGAATAAAGAAAATGTAATTATTTTAATTTGTTTAAAAAAAAATGTCATAATCATAAATTTATGATTTTGCCATTTATATTTGTGATATATAAATACAGTACTAATAAGATTAATAAATTTAGATAAAATAACAAGTTACAAAATCAATTTCTATGTATTATTCACCATTTAATTGATTTGAATGATATTTTAATAGAAAACAAATAGTGACAAAATTGTGTATTTATATTTATAAAGTCATGAGCATGCACTAAAAAATTTTAATTAATTAAGGTAAAATAATTGTCAACCACAATAAAATGAATAAACCACACGAAGTCAAGGTCATTCTAGTCATTTTATATGAATAGGGATATTTTCCTCTCGATGCTCTCCAATTTGGAGAGAATAGCTTTTTGTGGGCCCCAGGAGATTTTGGAGGAAATTTTCCTTACTCTCACTCACTTTCCAACAAGAGAAAGTAACTTTCTCTACTTATTTTCCACCCATATTTTCTTTCCTCCCATAAAATCCCTCCTACCCAAACACAATGTTAGGATTTGGTTTGCGAAAGTAAGTTTCTATGAGGGAAAATACTTAAGGAGACATAAAAAAGTCTGGTCCAAAACATTTTATAGCTTGTTATAAGGATTCTGACTGCCAGTCAATCTAATCCTATACAACTTTCTAATCCTGTAGTACAACGGTAGTTTGCTGATGGATGGATCCCGTTAATAGGGATTTTGCTTCAACTAATTCACATGACTCATTTATATTCAACACTTAAATTTAAGTGCTTATTATTAGTTTTGAAATTTTTTCATATTAATTGATAGTTGATTTCTACTTATTGTTTTACATTTAAATTTTATCAACGTCATAAAAATATTTGCTAATAAATTTTTTTTTTTTTTTGTTAGTCATTTTATTTATATTTATTTAAAATAAAACAAAGTGATCCCATTTACAATTCTATCCCATCTTCAATTCCATCCCATTTTCAATGATGCAAAGTGATCCCAATCAGTCCAACAATCCCAAGCCAGCTAAAGTAAAGAACGAAGATGAGAATGAAAATGATGGTGATCATAAAACCACCTCCAACAATTACTCTGCTGTCAAGGTTGATAAGTTAACTATTATATCTGGTTTTGGAAGTCTCATGGAATTGATCAAGAAGAAGAAGAAAAAAAATGAGGAAAAGAAGAAGGGATTTGTGCTTGCAGAGCAAAACGTGAAATGTGAATTTTTTTGGAAAAAAAACAATAATGTATAACGGATACAAACACCAAGTAGTTTATTTTTCAAAATTGAGGAATAAAATACTAATAACCTTTGACAAACTACATCAACAAGCTTATTTTCAATCTAGTTTAAGCAGTTGATAAACGAAAAACCTTGAAATCAAACATTGAAGCGAAGCCCACGTAACAAGAACTTCTAATGTCAACCTAATCCACCCATGTGATCATATGGACTAGCCACGTACCATATTTCCTCACCATAACAAGGTCTTTGGTTCAACCAGCTTGACTTGATCAAAAGCTTGTCAAACATGATTAAAAGAAAATATCAATGGCTTTAAGTTAAAAACAAAGGTCAAATCCCAAGTAACCACTTCCACAAAAGGGCAAAACCTTTCTATTACTTCAAGAAGATGATGACAGGTTAAAAGCCAAGAGATCAGAACCTCTATGCATATGATGGTAACAATAGTCATAATAACAGAGGTCTTCAAGGTGCCAACAATGAATAATAATGAATACATTAACTGCCCAAGTCACAAATATAATGAGGCAGATCAGAAGTGTTAGCACAAAACAAATTTCCTAATTAGTTGCAAAAGCCTACAAAGGTCATCTAATCCAAATCTATGCCCAATTCAGCCCTAATTAATTAGTCACCCAATTGCAGTGTTTGTTTCTCGCTTGTTATGGTAAAAATAGGACCTTCACAAGCTCAAAGGAATAGCCAAGAAAGAATTAATTGCCCTAAACTGATAAAAGAATAATGACCTCTGTCGACAAATAAAGCGCAGTCATAAGCCTTTTGCACGCTGCCTCAATAGGTCATAACCGTGTGCTGGACTAAATTGTCTGTAAAACATAGAAAGTGTAAGCAGTACTTGATCAGCATTCATTTTATAAGGATTAGAAGGAAAAAGAAATAATCAGAGCAAATTATGGAGAACAATGATCACTCCAGCTCAAATTGCATTACTTAAGACTGGGCCACCTCCACATGCACACAGGTGACATGTCAATATACATGTACAGAAAATTATTCCATGATACTAACTCCTTTCTTTTATTTTTTTTTTCCCTTACATTTGATTACTTTCATTAGCAAAATGATTTCAGCATGAGCTTTCACAAAACAGAAAGCATTTTTCAGGAAAGTGACAAGGGAACACAAAGAGATGATGAGAAAGAAATGTAATAGCAATATCACGTTTTGAATTTTAAAAAGAATTCAATATTCTACCAAAGATATGAATACCTTCAGAAAATTGCTGAAAACACACCAGCAGAAGGTCATTAGTCTTTTCTTAGAATAAACAATAAACTTAATACCTCAAAACTAATTCTGTCCAGACGAGATTGTCTTATCATAAAATGCTAGCATCATTTTCAGAAATGACATAGTAGTACTACTGATATGCATGGAAAGCTTAAGAACAACAATAAAAAAGTATGAGAACTAGCTATACAAAATACTATGATGTAATAGTAACAACAATTCAAACAGAAACAGCTGCATGGGTCTTTTAATTTAATCCTGCCAAGTAAAATGTCCCCCCACCTACCACCCAGTTCAACTATTCAAAGATAAACACATAAAGACTGCAAGAGAAACTTAGGAGCAAATGCAGCCAGAGAAAATCATGTTTAAATATAGAAGTTACCTAGTATGGAATCTTGTCCTCAACCTGGTTTTTTGGCATATTAGAAAATTTTCCTCAAGGTGCACAGATTGTGAAGGACAATCCATACTACATTAAATTGAATTGGCCAGAGAACTTGGCCTTGCAGGTTGCACATGTAAAACCCATTGAGCCTATTTGTGCTTCAGATTCAAGAGCCTCATAATGGAACTCATTTCTGCACCAGACACACAAAGCAGGAGTATGGCGCTTGCTTGCTATCTTTGGTAACAATGGCAAAGCTTCCTTCTCAAGCCAAACAGATGAATCAAGCCCTTGAGTGATCTCTGCATTATATGAAAAGACCTTGGATCCAACTGAATGAGAAGTCATAAAATTATATTCCATATTTTCCATGCCGCTTGATCTCACTCCATCAAAACCTGTTGTGCCATTAAACTTCTCTCCGAAAAGTTCACTTTCACCCTGTCCATCGAAGGATTGCATATCATAATCTCAGTCAAGTTTACTCACCAAGAGTGGTTTAACATGAGTTCTGAATCTAAATCGAGCTTTTCAAGCATTAATCCATTTCCAGTGAAGATTTTACCTCCTAACTAAATATTACAAACAAGGAACTATCCTTGAAAATATGCAATACAAACACAACATGCAAGCCCTAGTAAGAAACTATCCTTGAAAATATTTTGTTTAGATTTTACACAAACACGTGCAAGCATATAAATGCAAATGTTGGTGCAAAAGGCAAACAAAACACCGTCCCCATATGATGGTCAAAAACAATCAAGTACCAAGTAAATTATTTAACAAGTGTGCTGTGAATTGCAGGCAATCACAAACAATGATTACAAAACCTAAACAACACATGAAATTGAAAAGAAATCTAAAATTTGACACAACACGATCCAAATTAATTCATGATAATTGTGACTCAAATTGAATGCTTTCGAATATGAACATGAATTATGCCCAGAAAAACATGTCTCACTGCCTGGTGCAACACCTTACAACATTTGGCAATATCTTTTAATTGAGAATCATTTAACTTTAGTTGTTTTATGTAACCTTAGAATGGCATTTCTAATACCTTATCTGACATTACATCATACGTGGGAAAATAGCTTGATGAATGCACCAGTTGTGATGAAGTATCAGCAAAACTGCTAAGTGGGTCATTTTGTTCGTCAGTTCTCCACATAAACCCAGATAGAGCATTTTCATTTTGGGCATAGGTGCTGAAACCCATCAATGATTCTTTTTCCCTAGGATTTAAGTAATCCAATGCTGACTCCTCTTGGACTCTGCCTGTCAAATCCCTGGATGAATTATTTTCAACACTCCAGACTTGCTCACTCTTAGAGAGAGAAAGTAAGTTCTTTGCAGGACTTTTCTGCTCATTCAGAGTGCTGGTGTAAAGACCAGTTAAGTTATCTTCCACATCAAATTTCTGTTGATTCCCAGAAATAACAAGGGAAGAATCCTTGGAACAACTTTCTTGTGTGGTGCTTTTCACAACATCTACATGCTGTTCTGTGTGACTGTTGTCAAAAGCTATATTTGGACCAACATCGCATGAGCTTTTAAATTGCTTGTGTTTGTGCTGATCCATTATGATATATGAGACCTTATTCATGCTATTCTCATTATCGTGAGCGTGCCCATCGCAAGACGGTTCATGTAAACTACTTTCAGAAATTCTATCTTGCATAAGGTTTTTTGATGTGCCATTCAGGACTCCACCATCTTTTGAAGCAAATGTTAGCTCGTTGCTTGACCGAACTGGTAAGTTGTTGCAAGTTCTTTCTAGATCAATATCAGTAGCATGTCCTGCAACTACATCAACATCTTCACAACATTCACTGTTCTTAGAGAGCGGGACCTTGTTTTGATTAGGCACTGCCATTGTTGCATTAGATACCTTCATCGTAATATTTTCAGAACCAAATAAATTGAGCTGGATAACTTCAGATTCATTTTCTTGACAGTGTTTTTTTCTTGTGCATATCGAAGTCCCACTTGCATTATTTCCAAAAGAGCACATTTGCTCCTT